AAAATTCCCAGCAGCATGAAACGACCTTTAGCAATAGATTTTATATTGAGCATGTCATATGCTGACATAGACTCACACTGATGATTTCCCCATGCGGGCGACATCAGAATTAAAAGACAATGTGTTTCCTCCTCCCCTTCCGTCAATTGTTATTTTGGCATTGTTCCAACAACCACTTTGCTGGGCATAAAATATTCTGGGGCGTCTGCTAATCTTCCAGCACTTGAAATTGTTATTCGTAAGAAAAAAATACAACAAAAGAATGCTTGCAACTAAAAATAAGAAGAAAGGGCTTACCAAAGCACACTAGAGGTAAATCATGGATTTTCAATGGGGCGATGATCTGGCTGACTGGCACACTTTACCCTGTTTTTCTTTTCTTTTCTTGACTTGTCTTTTATTTTTTTTCCAAGTGCTCTTCTTCATCTTTTGAGGTAGGCCAATTTTTGGTGCTTTGTCAAAGCCATTTAAATCGGCTACCATGTCAATATTTCATCTTTATGATTTGAGTGGGTGTTTGCATTTCCATGTTGGAAGGGGTTGCGTGTGTGTGTTGAAGCAGCAGCGGCATATTTTGTCACATATTTGTTTATTGTTTGTGTTTCCATTGTGATTTGTTGTATGCTTTATTACGTATCTATATCTAAAAATATGAAAGATATATTTAATTAAAGCTACCAATAATTTGCCATAACATCCTCAGCTGGCTTTTGGTATTTCTGCTTAATGGAGCTAATGACATATTGATGTTTATTTGATAGAGAAGAAGCCTCTCCTAACGGACAAAATTAACCAACAACGGTCATACGGACAAGAATTATTTTGGCCGTTATGGCTGACCAAACCATGTTCATACGGTAAAAAATGGGACGTTGTGACAAAACATTTTTATTTATTTTTTTTTTTTTTTTGTTTTCTCTCTTGGAATGTCAAAATGTCAATTTCTGCTTACTGAAGATAATGACGAAGTGATGTTTATTTGTTAGAGAAGAAGGCCCTATACAGCGATCCGTCATAAAATCCCCAACGGACAAAAGAAACAAAATTAACCAACAACGGTCATACGGCCTACCAAACCATGTTCATACGGCAAGAAAATATGGGACGTTGTGACAAAACATTTTTATTTATTTATTTTATTTTTGTAGTTTTCTCTCTAGAAATGTCAATTTCTGCTTAATGAAGCTAATGACATATTGATGTTTATTTGATAGAGCATAAGCCTCTCTAGAGCGATCCGCCATAAAATCCCCAACGGACAAAATTAACCAACAACGGTCATACGGACAACAATTATTTGAGCCGTTATGGCCGACCAAACCATGTTCATATGGCAAGAAAATATAGGACGTTGTGGCAAAACATTTTTATTTATTTATTTTATTTTTGTAGTTTTCTCCCTTGAAATGTCAAAATGTCAATTTCTGCTTACTGAAGGTAATGACATATTGATGTTTATTTGATAGAGAAGAAGCCTCTATAAAGCGATTCGTCAAAAAATCCCCAACGGAAAAAATATACAAAATTAACCAACCACGGTCATACGTACAACAATTATTTTGGCCGTTAGGGCCCACCAAACCATGTTCATACGGCAAAAAAATATGGGACGTTGTGACAAAACATTTTTATTTATTTATTTATTTTTTTTTTTTTTTTGTAGTTTTCTCTCTTGAAATGTCAATTTCTGCTTGCTAAAGGTAATGACAAATTGATGTTTATTTATTAGGGAAGAAGCCTCTATAGAGCGATCCGCCATAATTAAACTCAACGAACAAAATTAACCAACAACGGTCACACGGACAACAATTATTTTGGTCGTTATGGCCGACCAAACAATGTTCATACGTCCAAAAACAATAAAAAATCAGACGTTGTGACCAAATATTCGTTTTCTCTTTTTGTAGTTTTTAGTTAAGTCTTTGTCAAATGCATGGTAGAAGAATATAGGTAGACGCATCGACATAGCTACTGGGACAATGAACTGTCAAACCCAATTTGGAATTGAAAATGTTGAATGAAAAATTATTAAAATTTGTAAAAATTGTTGAAAAACGTGTATTATAATATCCACCGATTGACGTTGTATACGAAAACATATAAAAATCAACCTATATTTGAAAAGACATTTAAATTTTTTTGACGTATCAATGTTCCCAAGCGTTGATGCATCTACCTGTATTCTTCTGCCATGGTCAAATGTCAAAAACCCAATTGACAAACAAACAAAATTAATAACCCACAAACCACGGTCATATGGACAACAATTATTTTGGCTGTTATGGGCGACCAAACCATGTTCATACGGCCAAAAACAAAAAATCTGACAATAGATTGTGACAAAATACTTTTCATTGTTTATACACTCCACCATTCTATACAGGCTATATTAGCTTTGTAATTCCGTTTGTAACTCCTCGTAATATTCATAATAGACCCTACGAAGTATTAGATAAAAAAACTACAACAAAGTCAAACTCCATAATTTATACTTGTTTTTTTTTTAATTTTATGAATGAAAGCAAAAAATTTCGGAAATAGGATAAAATTTTAGAATAAGTTTAGATTTGTTCGAATTAGTCACCTTTGGCACGAATTATGGACTTCAAACGGCCCGAATGTTGCTCTGCGATATTTTGGCCCATTCCCGGCTAAGCGCCTTCTTGTGGTGATCGACTTTGGTATTTTTAGTGACAACCTTGCTTTCCAAAATACTCACGACACAATAGTCCATCGGATTGGTATCCGGACATTTTAGTGGCCATTGTGCGCTTGAAGCAAGGAACCTCATTTTGTAACCTCATTCTTGGGTGGCGCGTGCTTAGTGCGATGGTGCTGAGTTCTGTGGGAGTGCGACCATCGGCTGCTAAGGTGGAATTACATAAAGCGCTTATCTGACTGGCTTAAGTCAGTCTTTGGAATGAAAAAAGGAGCCTATGGCCAAAATCGAAGTAAGTCAACCTTAAACTCCTTTGTTCATATACGAAGAAACCAGCCGATGACTTAAGCCAACCAAATATGCGTTTTATGTATATCCACCCTTATGACGACCCACACCATCACCATGGTCGGCGCTTGAGTTCTGTTCTGGTGGCCCAACGAAGGTGCACATTTTCAGCTGACCTCTTTGGCAAGTAAACACGATCATTTTGTTTGTTTACAAACTGCTGGACAACGAATGTTTTCTCATCGGAGAAAACCAAATTCGATTTGTCATTTCACCACTTTCGGGTAAGCAAAGCAACTCTTTAGCTTTTTTGAGTCTATTTTCTTTCCGTTGCGGTGTAAGTTCTTTCACTTTTTGGAATTTCAATGCACTTTAGCCCGAGCTCATTTTTCAATATATGCCGAATGGAATATTGCGATTTGTTCAGCTCACCGGCCACTGTGACGCGGATTTGCAATCAAGTCGCTTCTTTACTTTTCGCATCTGCTGATGTTGCTGTTGGTGTTTTCTTTCGCCCACTTCCTTGACGTCGGGCTACGCTACCAGTATCACGGTAACGGTAACAAGCCATGGTACAAGACACAAAATTTTTTTTCACATTTAAATGCTGGAGTGCTCTAACGATAGCCACTTGTGCTTTTTCAGCCAAATATAAAGAAATCACACTATCACGCTTGCATTCCATCACGAATAACATATTTTTCTGGAAAATTTTCACCAAAATGCTTTTGTACGCTCGTAAACAATATAATGAGCTGTCACGGGAATAATTTTAACAGCTGTTAAACGAGTGGCTTCGAAATGATAGCAGTCTGAAGTTGGTTGCAGTTTTATCATATCACCCCGTATATATTTTGGCAATGAGATATTTTCAAATGAATAATTTTGAAAAAAATTTTAAGCAAATGATTGCATGGTTTTACCTTCTTTATTATACAATGGGACGGTTGTCATGTTCAGTTTACACCGGACAATTGTTGATTTTAATTTGCCACAGATGTTTGCAATAACATCAAATCCAGTTTGAAACTATGTTTTCAAACTGTTTATCAATTGTTTACAAAACAAAAAAAATAGTTTGTGCAATGCAAGTTCTTTATGGAAATTTTGTTTTGGAATTGTTGTTGAACTGCAAAACCAGAATTGTAATAACAACTTCTTTGGAATGCGTAAACAATCTTTAAATTAGCAGACACACATGCCGGCAAAATATAAACGAAATAAGCAATGTTAGACTTTTGAATGTCAGTTAAAAATTATTGAATTTTACAAAAAAAAAAAATGGGTTATATTTGGTTAGCATAAAGGACAGAAGGAATCTTCTGTCTATTCGAAAAAAAACATGGTAGAATTAATAACGTCATGCAATCATATATTTACAATTTTTTTCAATTTATACATTTGACAAAAACATGACAGTTGAAAATTATTAAATTTTACAATAAATATGGGTAATATTTGACAGGGACAGAAGACGTACATCTAAACATTGTATTAGACTTTTGAATGTCAGTTAAATTTCGATATAGAAAATACTTAAAATTAATCATATATTTTTGCTTCTTTGCACAAACACCAACGGCCACTTTGAAGCCGAGCCTCCAAATTTATAATATATTTGTATCAATCCATGTCTTTTTAATAACCAGAATCAGCCGGCCAGCATCACAGCCATCGCTGTTGCTGCTGCTGCTGCTTCGACCGACAACTTGATACATTTTATAGATCACACGATTTCTCATTTTCAAAACTGACTTGGATATCAGCAGTTCTTAATGAATCCATAATATTCAGAAAAGAAATTAAAAAAAGTATATATATATATCGTATCAAAACAAAACAAGAACAACTATAACACACTAAGACGAGAAAAACAAAATACTTGTTTTCACTATTTCAAGCTATCAGATCAACTCAAAAATAAAAAAATATAAATATTCAAATTATTTTACCAAACATCTCGAACATGCACAGATGCTGTGATGTGGATTTTTCACCTGGCAACGCGTTCTCAGATGTTTTGTTGTCGTTTGGGCGCCAGCTTATTTTTTTAAACAGAAGCTATATAAAGCTTGTCTGAAAGCATGCCGTTTAAGTTAGTCTTTAACAAGAAATCCTAAGTGGATCAAGTCGAAGTTTCGGTGAAATCTTTTTCTCTTGGGTGAAAATAAAAACACAACAAACAAGTTAAAATGGTATGTCAAGTGGACATGTGTGATTGTGGTGTACGAGATTTAAAGATTGTTGCCTAAGGATATTAAACAAAATCTGATATTAAAAGTTCCATGTGTGCTATTTTTTTAAAAGGGAAATGTAGCCGATATACAGTATTTAAAAAAAAAACTGTTATGAAAGTGGATTTTCCAAAAATGGAACCTAATTCAAGTTTAAATACGAATCAAAGTTTTATAATTTTTCCAAATGTTTTTCTTTTAAGAAAGTGATATAAAATACATACCGATTTGTCAAGTTCAGTGACCTATAGTACATTTCGATGTGGAATATTACCCCCCCCCCCTCTCCTTGATATTGACCCTCTAAAATAAAGCTTTAGCCAGAATCCAAAATTCACTCATGGTAACATTAAAAAGGTAAAGTCATTTCTGCATTTTCTGTAATTTTCCTTGTCAAACTTCCCTGCCTAGAAAACAGGTTCCCATTTCTGATTTCTGAGTATACAATGGATTTGTAAATATAAATTCTGACAAGGATATGTTGTCAAATCAACAATTTTGAAAAAAAATTAAACATATGATTCTATGACTTTACCTTCTTAATTCTACCTTGAATTTCCCATTCAAATTAAGAATAATGTTATTTTTTGGATCAATTCCAAAAATTCCAAAAATTTCCAAAATATCTCTGAGGCATTTTTTTTTTTTTTGGTTTCTATGCCCAATTTGGCGCTGATATTTCATAAAGAATATTTTTTCCATTGTCCATATTCCCCAAAAATTAAAAATTCTTGGGCAAACATTTTTTTCCTGGGCCTCAATTTTTCTATGAAAATGTGTAATGAAAACTTTTATAAAGGAAAGAAATGTCAAATGAAGAATTGTATAAAGGAAATATTTTTCATTTCATATTTTCATAGAACAAGAATCCCGTCCCTGATGTGTTTAAGGCTCTATCAGACGAAATATTTTCACATACATGTGTAATGTCAACATTTCCATAGGCAAAAGTTGTGCATATCGTGTGATACATGGACGTCGTTTCAGTTGTAACAATACACGAATAGAACGATCACAGCGAGACCTATTTTAATTTGAAACATATAATGTATGTTATGTGAAAATATATAAAATTAAATTTGTGGTAAAATGCATCCATAAATTATTATAATTTTCTATAAAATACAATATAATCATAATATAATCAAAGGAAATAAATAAAAAGCATATGGAAGTGTGTGATAGCAGAAATTATGAGTAATATGTAAAATGACAGTTTTGACATAAACACGGAAATACACACGGATAATAATAGTGACAGCACATATGTAAAACACATTCTGTCTGATAATGCCTTTATCTATGATGACCTCAAGTTTATAAAATGGTAGAAGAATACATGTATATGCATCAACGCTTGGGAACATTGATATGTCAACATTTTTTAAGCGCTTTGTCAATAATTAGTCGATTTTTATATGTTTTCTTATACAACGCAAATCGGAGGTTGTAATGATATGTATTTTTCAACAATTTTTACCAATTTCAATAATTTTTCATTCACGATTCTTAATATCAAAATTGGTTTGACAGATCATTGTCCCAGCAGCTGTGTCGATGTGACTACCTGTATTCTTCTACCATGGTGTATAAGCTGATTATTAGTATTTTTACCTTAGAACATTCTGCCGGGTTATTTCAAATTTCCATCTCTGTATTTTCCGTAATTTACTTTGTCAAATACTACGACATAGGGTAAGTGTGCCTAAGTTCGGCATGTCCCAGTAGTCGGCACTTTTTATTTTTAAGCCCAAATAAATGAAACTATTATAACTAAATGTATTTTGTTTACTTCAAATATATTGTCAGCTATCTTTGTGTACAATTTCGCGATGATTTATTCTAATAAAAATTAAATTTTTGTCTGTGAAGGTCCTCAACAATCCATATTCTTAAGAAAAGTACAATAAAGACGTCGAATCAGTTTAACTAAACAAAAATATTATATTTTAATGAATTAATTTATTATTATTATTATTAATTATTCTTACAAAAAAATTGGTTTGCCGACTGTTGGAACATTCCATACCGCCAATTGGCAAGTGGTGCCGACTACTGGCAAAAAAGCATTGTTTTAATAAAACTACAAATTTATGAAATTAATAAAAAATTATTAAAACTATTTATTATTGCAAAAACTATACAAAATTTCGAATCTGAATAAATTAACTTTGTAATATTTGAAAAGTTCCACTCAGAATAATGAGCGATTAAAAACGCGAAAATCCTAAAAGTGCCGACTACTGGTACACTTACCCTAGTTGCTAGGACACTGAACTGTCAAACCGATTTTGGAGTTAAAAATGTTGAATGAAAAATTATTGAAATTTGTAAAAGTTTTTTTTTTAAAAAATGCATATCAAAACAACATCCGATATACGTCGTAAAGGAAAACATGAAAATCTAATTATTTTTGACAAAACATTTAAAAAATTTTGTCATATCAATGTTCCCAAGCGTTGATGCATCTACCTGCATTCTTCTACCTTGGTTGCAATATTATTTGTGTCTATACAATGGATTTATAAATTTACATTTTGACAATGAACTGCTGTCAAATAAATAATTTAAATAAAAATCTAAACATATGATCACATGATTTTACCTTCTTAATTCTACCATGTTTAGTATATTCGATGTGGAATATTTCTTTAATTTAATAATTGTTCGGAAAATGTTCGTCATAGTAAAAACGGCCAAAAATTACTCTTAAATATACAAATCAACCAATCTGGCCCTGATATTTCTTGTTATGTATTCCAGATACCGTTAATATTTGTTCAGTGACTTATCGGAAAATTTTATGTTAATTAAACTACACATAAAAATTTGTTACCCTGTATTTTTATTTATTTTTTTTTTTTTTTTCTAAAAATATCAAAACCAGCTTCTTCAATTTGTTGTTCAACTTGCTTCTATTTGGCCACTGAACATTTTATGATAAAGTCGCGTGTCAAGCAACTGGTCCTAGTCAAAGACAAAGACAATAAAAATATTAAAGAAGCCGGCAACAGTTCTTATTTTAAATTTTTAATTTGTTAGGTTGAGGAATTCTCATAAATATTAATAAAGAAATGTTGAATTCAAAATAGAGCGACATGGTTGACAAATAAATGTGAGAGTACAGAAGTGTTGGTACCACCCACTGTAGAAGAACACAGGTAGTCGCATCTACACATCAGAACTGTCAAACTAAATTTGAAATTGAAAAAAACTTATTCAAGTTCGTAAAAATTGTTGAAAAACGAATATCATAACAATTTCTAATTATTAAAAAAAAAAACATTTCAAAAGTTTTGACATAGCAATGTTTTCAAGCATTGATGCATCTACCTGTATTCTTCTACCATGGTACCAGCTTAAGAAATGATGTTTTGCTTTATTTTGACATACATATATGAAGAAAAGCATTTTTCGAATTTGGTGCCAAAAATGTCCAACAATATTTCATTTTAGGTGGACGAGGCCAATGAAAAATGTATTCCGGAACAAATTTTTGCCGTAGGTCATCGAACAAATGGAATTTTTAGACATAATATTTATTATACATATATACCTACCAAATAGGGTATTAAAATTCATTTATAAAATTGCACTAAACGTCACAGTTATTTCCTAGACTTTAGATTCATTAATAACAAAAATAATGACAATAGGTGTGTCTGGTTACTTTTTCAGCAGGAATTGTCCAGTAACTTCTTTCTGAGAGAGTAAGCTAGTTTTGCAAATAAAATGCGAAAAGTAAACAGACGGTATTTCTGCAGAAACTTGCAACTAATCAGCTGATTTGTCAAAACAAACCAATTTGTTCCCCATTAAAAGAATTAAGAAAAAGCACCACCAATTTTACAAGTTTTATAAATAAAAAGGAAATTAGCAATAACATAAAAAATATGAGCAGTATAAGAAAGATAGATTTGATATGTTCCCCGGAATCCTTTAAACGTGCTTCTAATGTCGTTTGACTAAAAATGTTGGATATAGTCTTTTATTTTCTTATTACATATGCTTATTTACGTTTTTCCCAATTTTGTAAAGTTGTTCTCCAAAACCAATTAGTCTTGCTAATTCCAAAAAAAATATTTTCAAATTGAAAGCACAAAAAGAAATAAGCAAACAATCGAAAACATCTGATTGAATGTCGATGAATGAGAAGAAGAAGAAGAGTTGCAAGTGATTGCAAGAAGAAATTTGTCCAGCAAGAATTTGCAAACTCTCACTGAAAGAACTGCCAAAACGTCTCTCTCCAACCGCTCTCTTTTGCAGAACTTTCGGGTAAACAGACGACTTCCAGTAACAGTTTGTAACAATTATTACAAATAAGTACAATAACAATATTTTTAATAACAAGAATAATAATAATAATGAACATTAATTTATAATTATAGAATTTTATTCAAAATGAACGAAAATTTTCCTTGGAATTTATTTTTAAACCCCATGTGGATCGTAAAATTCATTAATTTATCTTGGCACCATTGCCGCCAGACTCTCTTTGAAGCCAAGCCTCCCAAAGAAAATATAAATTGTTTTTGTACCATGGCAACACACACACAAATATTTACAAGAACATGTATCAGTGGCTAATCACTGCCAGCCTTATGGATTTTTTGAACCACACACACAACATCTCGTTTGTTTACTACCAAGTTTTGAAAACGACTTGGATATCTGTTCTTAATTTATGCAGTAATATTAAAAAAAAAAGAAATTAAAAAAATATCGACTTGATTCAAAACAAGAACAACTGTAACACGCAGTGCTGAGAAAAACAAAAATACTTGTTTTCACTATTTCAAGCTATAAAAATAAAAAAATACAAAATATCCAAACGATTTCAGCCAATTCGAAATATACAAAAATATAAATATTCAAATTATTATATCAAACCTCTCGAACATACACACCAGCATCTGTGATGTGTTTGTTTTGGGGGGGACAGGATTTGTTCTTCGTAGTCTGCTGCTGACCATTATTGGTGTCGTTGTTTTTTGCCGCAGAGGTTCATATGATATTCACAGCAACCAACAGAAGCTATATAAAGCTTGACCAGTACCATGCTGCTTAAGTTAGTCTTCAATACAACAGGCCCTAAGTGGTGAATCGAGTTTTACGGTTTTCACTGAAATCATATTTTTTCTTGCTTGGATTAAGAAAAAAACGGATATCATGGTATGTCCTGATTAACAAGTGCCGCTGAGGAGCAATGAGGATTGTAGAAGAACTTAAAATATTTCCCAAAAGTGATTACAACTTTTTTTTAACGGATATAAAACAAAAAGCGACATCAAACGTTCCAAGCACACTGTTGATCTGTTTCAGAACTACAAGAATTTTAAAGTTTTTACTACATTAAGCGATTTTTCATTTACGATATCGAAAAAAAATTGCAAAAATAGTAGATTCTTGTAGGTTCTGGAATATAGCATATTTTATAAAAGGAAATGATGCAAATATCCAAGATTTAAAATAGAAAAAGTGAAATTAAAACACAACTGATCCTTAGCAGGGATCCAAAATCCAATTTTTTTTACTGAAATCGATAAAAAAAACTTACGCCTAACTATTTCAAATATTCAGTGGCCTACAGTGAAATTCGATGCGGAATATTTTTGTCCTTTAGTACCAACCTCTTAAAATCAAATATCCAAAATGAAATTTTTTGGAAATCCCTGATATTTTGGAAAAAATATTCGAAGTGCTATTTTACTGAAATCGATAACAAATTACCCTGCCGTGACCTTCAGTGAAATTCGATGAAGAAAATTGTTTCCTTAAGTGCCAACCCCCTAAAATCAGATACAGGGTGAGATAAAAAAACTGCAACAAAATCAAACGCCATCATCCCAAACGGAGAATATCCCAGACAAAAAACAAGGGATCTGATGACGATTGGTGGCTCTTTCCGAAACCTAGGTATTCCCTGCTTTACCCCCTGGTATACATTACCATCGTTCTTCACTAATAAACAAACGTTGTTTTTATAACTTTTGTTTGACATTTTTTGCAGTTTTTTTATCTCACCAGGTATTTTCCCGATGCAAATAGCTATTTTTAACTTTTCTGCTTCCGAAACCCAAAGTAGAATTTAATGCAGAAAATATTTTCCTTTGACGCTTTGCTCCTAAAATGAGGAATTATGGCTCATATGGCATCAAATGGAAAACGACCAAAAACCAAGGAAAATTCTAGAATATTTTTGTTTATAATTCAAGAATAATAAACATTAATAATAATTAAATCTATTTTATTATTTTTATAATTCACTTACACCTCCTTTTCCCTCTTTTTTCAGACTTCCTACACTGACAAAGGACCCAAACCCGAATTCGGTAAATTCTTGTCGTTCGATCACTTGACCTTCTATGTGGGCAATGCCAAACAAGCCGCCAGCTATTATACCACACGCATGGGTTTCACACCCCTCGGCTATCAGGGTTTGGAAACTGGCAGTCGTCGTTATGCCCGCCATGCTGTGAAACAAAATAAAATTGTTTTCGTCTTTGTTTCATCCTATGAAACGGATGATGAGGAACATGGTCTCCATTTGATGCGTCATGGTGATGGTGTCAAGGATGTTGCCTTTGAAGTTGAAGATATTGAGGCTATTTTCAATTTGGCCAAGGAAAGGGGTGCCGAGGTGGTACGTGAACTCTGGGAAGAATCGGATGAATTTGGTACGGTGAAATTTGCCACCATTAAGACGGTAAGATGATGTTTTTGACTCTGGAAAGTATTCATAATAAATTGATTTCAAAAATTTCAGTACGGCGACACCACCCATACCTTTGTTGATCGTCGCAATTACCGAGGTGTGTTTCTGCCAGGCTTCAAGGCCACCATGGAAGATCCCTTGCTGAAACTCTTGCCCCCTGCCAAATTGGATTTCATTGATCACGTGGTGGGTAATCAGCCCGACTTGGAAATGGAACCAGTTGCCGCCTGGTATGAACGGGTCTTGCAATTCCATCGTTTCTGGTCGGTGGACGATTCACAAATCCACACAGAATATTCGGCCTTGCGTTCAATTGTCATGGCCAACTATGAGGAGACAGTCAAAATGCCCATTAACGAACCGGCCAAGGGTAAAAAGAAGTCACAAATTCAGGAATATGTTGAATATTATGGCGGTGCCGGTGTCCAGCACATTGCTCTCAATACCAGCGATATTATTACGGCCATAGAAAATCTTCGTGCCCGTGGCATGGAATTCTTGACAATTCCCCCATCGTATTATGAAATTTTAACAGAAAATCTAAAACACAGCCGCACCAAGATCAAGGAAGACATGGAAGTGCTGAAGAAATTGAATATTCTCATTGATTACGATGAGAATGGTTATTTGTTGCAGATCTTCACAAAGAACATGCAAGATCGTCCCACATTGTTCTTGGAAGTTATCCAGCGTCATAATCACAACGTAAGTTTTGGGGAAAGCGTTTTGAGATTTGTGTGAGGAAAGGGATTTCACTGTTTTGTTTCCTTTGTTTTTTCAGGGTTTTGGTGCCGGAAATTTCAAGTCACTCTTTACCGCCATTGAAATTGAACAGGAGAGACGTGGCAATTTGTAAATGCTTTTTAATTTTAATTCCCACTTTTTTAAATTTTAGTTTAGTAATAAATAATTAATAAAATAAATATAAAAAACATAATTAAATTTGTCGAAAAAATCTCTCAAAACTTCCTGACAAAGAATTGAATTTTGGTCGTCTTGAAAGATTTCTATATTTTCAATACAAAAGTGTTTGCCGAACATTTTTGTTAATGACATCAAGTGCCTAAAATGAAAATTTAGCCCACAAAAAGACCCAAAAATAAACCTCAAACAAGGCCCATAGACTAATTTTGTCATCAAACTTGGTTGGCAAATAGGACATGGACCTACAAATAAAGTTGCAAAAATAAAGGGAATACATTTTTTTACAAAATTTTTAAATTTTAATAACATTTATATCTGCTATTTTATTTTTACGATATACCAAAAAAAAATGCACATATAATTCCATAGTTTAACACACCCCTTGGTTGGCCTAACTAATTTCCCTTTTTATTCTTAAAGCGAGTATCAATCAGCACCTCATTTCTTGGATCATTTGCCTCGAATGATAATATCAAAGGATTCCAGAAATTCTCCGGTGTATTTTGACGCATAAAATCCAGGCGATTATGGAATTTACAATTGTTTAAATGCATTTCAATTTCACGATCACTCAAGGTGGGTGGTAAGAAACGCAAATGCTAAAAATAGAAATAGAAGAAATATTATTTAAACAAAAAGGAAATGAATTGATATAAAAAAATTAAATACCTTTTCACACTCCTCACAGTCTATGTTGAATCTCTCTTTTAGGTTTAATTTTTTATGGGTTACTACCATATCACAGGGTTCCTGTTTGACAATAATTGGTTTGGGCATGGCATCCTCGTCTTCGTCTTCGCTGGTGTCATCATTTGAAAGTAAAGGATTTTGAAAAGTGGATTTTTTCGATGATGAAGTCGAGGCTTGTAAATTTTCATTTTCAATGACAGTTTTCTTTTGAGTTTCTTCCAACATTTGAGATTGTTTTTCCTTTTTTATGAGAGCAGCGGGTTTAATGAAATTGTGTTTTGTTGCCTCCTTGGATTTTGCTGGTTGTTTTGTGTCCTGTTTCAGTTGTTTTTCAATACTAAACGAATGAATAATAAATAAATTAATAATAAATATCTTGGAAAACCATCACTTACCTTTTCGTTTCATATTTCTTGAGATTTTCCATATATTCGGTTTCGTGTTTTTGTATATCTGCCAGCAGATCCATGGTATTAATATCACTAAACTCATTACTGGTATCATCTAAAAATATTATATCCTGGGTGGCTGGCGTTAGAATAACCACACTAGAACTATCGCCCGATTTACCACTCATCAGCATTGTTGTCTGATCACCGGCAACGCCCAGGCAATTTGTGCTCTCATCGTGGAAGTCCAACTGCTTTGCCTTCAAGTTGTTGTTTTGACATGATGACGTGGAGAATGATGCTTCGGTCTTTTTACTCGGTGAAAAATCGAAAACTATATTTTCTATGGGTATACTTTCGACCGTTTCATCAGGTTTTTGATGGTTGTTGCTGTCTTCTATGTTTATATCGGTTTTGTTGTTGTTGCTGTTGTTGTGGCGGGGGATCGGACTGGAGCTGTTGTGTGAACTTTGATTTTGTTGGCTTCTGTAATCTTAGCAAAATATTTAATTAGCCGAGGCTGGGTTATCTGCAATAATGCTTAGGGGGAAATTACCTGTGGGCCCAGGATTTGCCATTTCTGGAAGATTTGGAGGCAATTGGACTGGCATCGATAATATCTTCACAGACATCAGACTGTAAAAAAAATAGAAAGTAGTTTAAACAAATATTTTTACAAATTTTTATGAAAATTTCTTTAAAAAATACATAGGAGTGTACTTTGGGGTCCCGGTCTGTTCATGATGAATTGCAGCTCCCCTGCGTTTCTATTAGAAAACATGCAGGAATTGTCTTCATATTTACCTCAATTACACTGGAATCCTTTGAGGTATTAAATGGCAATACGGTCTGTCTTATTTTGCTGGGATTTGTTTTCTTCAATGACAAATTCATTCGCTTGTCTGGTTTACGCGTAACTCCAACTTTACCATCTGTGCTCTTAGAGGATACGGCCACGGTCGTCGATGGCTTTAAAAATGCCATAGTCCAAGATTTATTCGCTTGTTGCTCTTTCAAATTGCACTCCGATTTGGATTTTTCCAAAACCATTTGCTTCTCCATTGCATCTTTAATGTTTTCCTTTTGCCTATTGCGACGTGGCACAAGTTTTGCCCGAGGACTGGTTATTATTTCTGAAGAAGATTTTAGAGGTTCTATAGCAGCAGGTTTTGCCGGACTTACGACTGAGGTTTCAAATAATTGTTCGCTATTTAAGGCCATATTAAGATTTGAGGCGCTGCCTTCGGATTCAACACCATCATCGGTATCTTCGTCGATGCTGATATCAAGGCTATTATCGCTGTTGTTGCAGACTTTTGGAGGTTTGAATTGAGTTTGTCTTATCAATGGATCATCATTGCTGTTGGCCTTAAATTTTTTATGAGGCTGTTCTTGTTGTTTTTGTAAAAACTCCAATGCTTTGTTTAATCGTTCATTGCGTTCCTTGACACTTTGTAACTCCGCATCCCGGCTACTCAGGGCATTTTTATAAACTAAAGGGGAAAGAGGAAGTTTTTCTTAGTAGATCATGGAGCCCAGCACAAGCAAACTTACATAGGTAGTGTTGTTTTATTGTATCCAGGGCATCAATAAAGCAATCCGTCTCGGTACTTCTTTTGCATGCCAAGCAAACCATTTTTGCAGTTTTCTCTTTGTACTCAAAGGATTTTAATAATATTTTGAATAGTTTACTATTATATTCATTATTTAATCCTGCCGAACCAATGTTTCCAATTCCTTTCCTATTATATTCTTGATGTTGGGAAGTAAGTTGAAGTATCCTTTTAATAGACGAGCAAAGCAGAGGGCGGGCGTTGGAAACCAAAACAAAAAACGTACCCAATGAAACCAAAAACAAACAGAAAGCAAAGTGAATGCAATAATGATTTTAAGGGTTCTATAGGACAGAAATGGGATGCACCGACGTTTGTCGAATAGGGATCTTTAAGTTGATTTTTGACCAAACGATAAATCGATTTTAAAATTTACTTAATCGATTTTTGGTTTGGAGTTTCCGTTAGTTCAATTGAAAAATTATTGAAATTGAAGAGATTTTATGTTTCATTTCTAATATTTAGCATTAAAAAAAAAACTAGTAACAATCTAAGAAAATATCTGGTTTAGTTGGAACCATTACAAAATTAGACAAAGTCCCAGTTTTCATTCCGTTGACGTTTTTTTATTGATTTATTTGATAATACTTCAAAAAATTTTTTTTAAATATTTTTATCACAATTTTATTTTCCCATTTCAATAGAAACCACAAAAAGAATAACAAACAAACTATACCCTCGATAAAAGTGCTCTTAATTAAAATAAAATTTCCTCTAGTTGGTTTCCTTTAATTAGTTAAGTATTCCAATCACAAATGATAGCCTGCACTTTATTGTGGTCATCTTTATTTTCAAGCATAAAAAATAATAAATATTTGCAGGTTTGTAATGGAACTTTATTGCACAAAGTGATAAGAGCTGACTAGATAATTCAAATGCATGCCCTTACATTGCTTTAGGGTGGAGGTAATCGTGGGGGGGCATTTAAAGTAAATTGCAATTTAGAAACTTATGTACACAACAGATTAGAGAAAAAACTCAAATAAAAAAAAAAACTGCATATAAATGTTGGCGTTCTTTTTTAGTTTCAAACTAGTAACCAGCTGAGAAAGTCAGGCAGCGGTAGTGCAAGCGAAATAAACAGCCAAAGAAAAAAATAGGTAACAATGTAATAACAAAAAAAAACTGATTTGTGCAATAATAAAAGAGTATATACTTAAGAAAGAAATAAAAAATAATATTTTTAAATATTCCAAAACTTTTAAAGTATTTTTTTATTTTTTAGCTTCCTTGGTATTGAAACGCATTCTTTTTAATCCTACCGATCGATTTAGTTTATTGAGAAGGGTAAGTTTGAGTTTTGAAAGTCTCATTTGAAATATTAATAAAAAAGAGTTATTCCCTTTAGATTTCCACCATGGTTAACGTAAAAGTCGAAGATTTTGGTTCAATGACCGATCCAATGACAAAACAACCAAAAACTGTCAAGGTCATTACCCTAACCAATGATCATCAGATGACAGTGCAAGTCCTGACATTGGGTGTGAATATAGCCAGTGTTCGTATTCCCGATAAGGCGGGAAAATTGGATGAATTGTCATTGAGTTTTGATACGCTGCAAGGATATATTGACACGCAACCAGCCTATATTGGTGCCACCATGGGACGTGTCGCCAATCGTGTGGCAAATGGTCGATTTAAATTGAATGGTCAGGAAATTCAAGTTACCAAAAATTTCAAAGACAAATATCAGCTGCATGGTGGTTTTGTGGGATTCGACAGTGTCATTTGGGATGTGGTCGAGACCCTTGCAAATGGTGTAGTTTTGAGACATGTCTCTCCCGATGGCCACGAGGGTTATCCCGGAGTAGTGACATGCAATATATCCTGCACCCTGAATGATAACAATGAGTATCGCATGCAAATCGAAGCTACAACGGACAAGACCACCTGTGTCAATGTCACCAATCATGCGTATTTTAATTTGGCTGGCCATAATTCAGGCAAGGAAGGTCTGGGACAGCATTTGGTACAAATAAATGCCGATGAAATCGTGGACACCGATTTGGACCAAATACCAACGGGAAAGTTCGTTAAAGTTGAGAATACCGTTTACGATTTGAGAAATCCTGCAAAAATGTCCGAACGTTTGCCTCTGTTTGCCCAATTACCCATCAAGGGCTATGACAATTGTTATTGTGTTAAATTGGATGGCGACAAGACGACACGCATTGCCCGTGTAGAACATCCGGAGAGTGGTCGTTGGTTGGAAATGTATAGCAATCAACCGGGTGTTCAATTTTATACTTCAAATAATTTACCAGATGTTGAGAATGGGGCGGCTGCCATGTCGGGTAAGGGTGGTGCAAAGTACGTCAAACATGGGGCATTTTGTTTGGAAACCCAAAAATATCCCGATTCAATGAATCATGAGAATTTTCCAAGCATTTTCCTTAATCCTGGAGAGAAATACTATCATGATGTGATCTATAAATTTGGAAATTAAACAATAGGACAGGAAATTGTACGGAACGCTAATCAATCGAAAGGAATCTCAATTATAGCACCTAAAAGATGTCTATAAAAAAAAGAAAATAAATGTGAAAACAATAACAAATATATATGTTTAATTAAAAAAGTGTGTGTGCGTATTTGATTTATAAATCTATATCGAATTACCAGGTTTCACCCTTGAATATTGATTTTCGTAATTATTTAAGAAAATCCTTTCAGCCTCATTTTATATTAAAAATTAAAAATAAAAAAAACATTTTATCATCTTTTTACCATATATTTACATTTTATAACTTTGAGTTACTAATAATAGGTATTAATTACATAGGCATGATTTAATATGGGACGAAATAAAAAATATTAAGTTATTCTCTTTCTGTCAGTTACTTTATCGTCATTATTATCAGTTCCAAATGAACTGAACAAAACAAAAAACTGCTATTAATCTGAAAGGAAAGGAGATTAGCTGGCTAAATGGTTTGTTAAGATAAACTCGTAAACAAAGAGTCGTAAATATTATGTGTGAGATAATAAAAATGAAAAAAAAAAAAAACAATATTTAAATATGGAATAAACCTTTTTAAGCTGGTTAGCTTGTAATATTAACTGTAATATAGCGAGAAATATAACTTGGGAGTTAGATAAAGAAAATTTCATGAAGAAATCCCTAATTCAAGAAAGAAACAAAATCAGTATCTTGCTCTTTAAAAGCCTAGTTTCTTTCTTCACTGAAATATTCTTTGTTAAAACTCCCAATAAGTTGTCTTTAAATATATCATAACTAGTTTGAAACTATTTAGATTCATAATTTAAAATTTTTTTGTTAGGATCACTTTTTCTTTTGCGAAATTTAACTAGTGAAAATTACATAATCTCGGTATCAAGAAGAAATATTGACTACTATAAAATAGATACTCTGCAGAGGTCCCAAAAAGCTGTTTAATATTTATTGATATTGAATAAACGCACGCCATGGAATTGCGGAAGTTTGGGCAATGTAACCACAACCAATGAAATAAAATTGGCAATGAAATGATCCGTGTCATTGCGAGTATACAGACAGGTCAAAAGGAATCTGAAAAAACAAATAGGAAAACAATTTAGAAACTCCTGTTTGTTGTGGACAGCATATCATATATGCAGACAACGAAAGTGTCCATGGAAGTCTAGCTTTTTCATGAACACTTTTTCATTGTGTCACTTCAAACCAACTTACAACAAAATGGGCATGGCTGTTAAAAATTTCCTGGTTGTGGTAAACTGTTCACCATCATCGATTTGTTCCCAGTGGGTCAAACGACCCCGAGAATCATTTTCAATGGAGAACCAGGGGGCACCCTTGATAATATGCAGGAAATATAAATGGGCCTGAAATAGAATGGGGGAAAATATTAGACATTTTCTTTCGAAAAAATAAAATTTTCACTCACCGCATTGTGCAATAAATTGGTTATGGTCCAAGCCAATGGAATTGAGATAAACGGTATTGAGAGTAATATCAAATGGGCCGATAAAACACCCAAAATATAGGCCAACCACATTCCCCGGGCACCCAGCCAGGAAGCATTAGGATTTGGCTCACCATGTCCACCAGCAATAACAGTCATTTTTTGTGCTGAATTGCTTTCGCGTCAAGAAGATGGTACGTAAATAACAAATATCTATTTCTCGTTGATTTAGGGGCTTTGTTTTGAGTTTTTTCTTTGCTTAAACAAATGCATCGGATAGATGCTTAAAAATCATTGTCTGCTTGCAGCTTGAAGAGCTGTTTAATAATTATGGAGCTGAAAAAAGGAAAAAAAATGAAAGATGCATTGTTATTGTCACAAGATATCTAATATTAACACAACATCCGTATGGGTCTACATTTGGAGGGAGTATGTTAATACGACTTCGATATTTTAGTCAAATTTAGTAACATTTGCTGAAACCATGGTACCATGGCTGAAACTGAATTAAATTACGATAATCACTTGATAAGCGGTAGGGATGTAGGAGAAAATTATAGCTTTGTGACAAGATCTGAACCGATGTTTCCAAAATTCAATGGATGTTGTCCCAGAGACGCATATTGGTTGTGTTTTTTCGCTCTTTATACTGCATTCCTGAATATTATTTTTTTTTTAATTCCGGAACAATATCACTTATGGCACGACGACAGGTTAATGCAATATTGCAATGAACTATTTTGGGTTTTAGACTTGAAACAGTGGCGAGAACTTCACTAAAACTCTGGTTGCCGATATTTGCAGCGGACCAAATCTACACCCGAACAAATTTACCATTACTAGGATTATCATGGATCCTGACATTACGTCCAAGGTACACACTCTTTCCTTTCATTTCTTTTAATGACAGATGGATAAAGGAACTTTTCGGAATGTTCTTCTGCGATATTTTGATTTTGTTTGTTTGACACTCTCATCGATTATATTACGGGGAGAAATCAATTGTTACCTTTCCACAAAGAAAACAATGGCTATTCTAACTACGTGTTATTCCTGTATTTCTTAACAAATAAGATAAAAGTTTTAAAAGTTTAATCAATATCAATAAATAAACACGAATACAAATATACAAACCAAGGGAGATGTATTGATGTAGATGTGCTTTGGTGCAAACTGAAATGACATGTCAATTGGCATCTTTGATGCCAACGTATGTCATACGTTAATATATAAAGCAGTTCACATGTTGAGGTCTGGGATAAACTCAAAAAACAACAAGAAAAATTAGAAGAAATATTTATAAAAACAATTAATCAACAAAACATAAAATGCATTAATGTATTATACTTATTATTTTTAAAAACAAAAACGCTTTTCTTTGCCTCCCTTCTAAAATTCTTCTTAGAAACCAATTTTGCCACATTGCTTCTCCGTCATCTTACAAGCCGCGCTCAATTGCATGTCTCTCTGTTTCTCTCATATACATTGTCACATAAAGAGCATCAACTCTTTCATTCGCTGATTCACTTGCAACAGAGAATTAATAGTTTTATCAGTAATTTCGCATTAAAAACCCAATAAATAAAGAAGAAACAAGTAAATGTTGAACAAATAAATAATTAATAACTTTTATTTGCTAATTATTTTGTACAATCTACTAAAAACCAACCATTAAATGCACTGAATTTTCGTAGAAAATCAACAACAACAACTAGCCGACCCTCTCAAAAATATAATTTTGTTTGATCTTGTTTTTCCTACATTGCCTCCTTTTTTTGCTTGGATAAAAAATTTTAACAAAACGGATCCTACACAGCAGCTTGACACTGTTGAGGTAGAGCCCGACGAAAATACCCCTCTGATGATGGAAGGCCATGTCGGTGCCCCTCAAATAAGTTGTAATAACTCCATAACTGGAGGCGCCAGTCATGTGCGACAACAGAGGCGCAAGGTGGAACAACTAAATAATTATGGTACAGCTGCAGAGGCAAATCGAGATCAAACAGATGCGGTATGCAATGCATTGGCTAAATATATTGAAAACTTATGTGGTATTTTGTTATTGTAGGCCATTTTGGATGTCCCCGGTGTGGAGATAAGAAGTCGCGGCGGCGGCCATCGTGACGGAGATGAAAATCCCAATGATGGAGAACCGGGACCTTCAAGTGAAGCACACCCCCCAACAGTGGAAGAAGAGGAACAAGTTTTAAAATATGGAGCCCAGCATGTCATCAAGATTTTTGCACCTGTTTCACTGTGCATGCTTGTGGTGGTGGCCACAATAAATTCCATTACATTTTACACCTACACGGATACATATTTGTAGGTATATTCCATTACAAAATTTTCCATAACAACTAATTTTGATTTTCGTATGCAGACTATATACCCCATTCCATGAACAATCGGATGATAAGGGCACCAAATTATGGAACGCCCTGGCCAATTCTTTGATTTTGCTTTCCGTGGTTGTTGTAATGACAATTGTTTTAATAGTCCTCTACAAGAAACGTTGCTATAGAATTATTCATGGCTGGTTAATATTGTCCTCGTTTATGTTGCTGTTCATCTTCAGCTATCTGTATTTGGAGTAAGTTTTTCTGAATTAAAAAAAATGTATAATATTTTTAATTCCTCAATATTTTTATAGGGAATTGCTACGGGCCTACAATGTAGCCATGGATTATCCAACTACTCTTCTAATTTTATGGAATTTCGGTGTCATGGGTATGATTGCTATACATTGGCAAAGTCCCCTGAAACTTCAGCAGGCTTATTTGATTTTTGTATCGGCCCTAATGGCCTTGGTGTTTATTAAGTATTTACCGGAATGGACAGCATGGGCTGTATTGGCAGCCATATCCATATGGGGTGAGAATATCTGAAAATCCATAGTTTCGATGTTATTAACGGTACTTTGTATATAGATTTAATTGCCGTACTTACCCCTAAGGGGCCCTTACGTATTCTCGTTGAGACTGCCCAGGAACGAAACGAACAAATTTTCCCTGCCTTGATTTATTCCTGTAAGTTAAAGGTCTTTATCTTCTCACACAAATTTAATTTAAACTCCCATTGTAGCTACCATTTTGTATACCTTCATGGGTACTACAGGAGGACCTCAACGCAATAACAACTCCTCAGGTTCCAATTCCCCAAATTCACCGCATACCTCCCAAACGAGCTCTACATCTGTTTCTAGACAAACAGGTAACACAGCTACAAATGCTGAAGGTATGCCTCTAGTGACATTTAAAATGCGCGGAAACGGTATTTATTTTTTTTTTTTTAATTTTTATGTTAAACGGTTAGCTTATGTTGTATTCCAACTATTGTAGAACTATCTTGAAGGGTGAGGGTATACGGTAGTTGTTTTGTCCAAAATAGTCTCTTTTATTTCCTGGTAGCGCGCGTTCTTATTTTTTCACTATTTTTTGATTAACGTTTTCCATTTTTTATGTTCTCAGAGGCAGCTGGTTTCACCGAGGAATGGTCCTCAAATCTAGATGAGCGTGTTGCCAGACGCCAAATTGAGGTGCAAGCAAGTACTTCGGACAGTGCCAATCGTTCGACCAACTATCGCACGGTAACGGCCCAGGAAGATCGCCCACACTTGGGCAGTAACATGACAGAGGCCCAAGAAGAGCGTAAGTACACTCCCTACAACAAATATGTATTACTTTTTTCTAAATGCTTTCGCATTTCAGGTGGCATAAAACTGGGCTTGGGAGATTTCATATTCTATTCGGTGTTGGTAGGAAAAGCTTCATCATACGGCGATTGGGCTACTACAATTGCTTGTTTTGTGGCAATTCTGGTGGGTCTTTGTTTAACCCTGGTGTTGTTGGCAATTTGGCGCAAGGCCCTGCCAGCTTTACCCATTTCCATTTTCTTCGGTCTCTTCTTTTGCTTAATTACAAGTGTCATAGTTAAGCCCTTTATGGAAGAACTCTCGGATCAACAGGTTTTCATATGAAGCCTTACACATGACAATAGTGTAAAGCATAAAAAGACAAACTAATCTCGTTTTGTTAAGTATTTAAAGTGGCAAAATGCTTTTTTTACTCCTCATACTCCTTATACCCATATAGCTAAGTATATTAAATATTGGACTGTTCATTTCAATGTAATAATGAAAACTAATTTAATTTAAGTATGTATTTTTTCTATAAATGTTTAACATTTAATTCCAAAAGAAAACAATTATTTAACACTTAGCTATTTACGTAGAAGAGGGATAACCTTTTGATTTTATTATACATTGATCCTTCAAGTTAATCACCCATCCCGGTTCTAGACCATAGAACAACTGTCGTGGATCCTTGGAGCTTGTTAACATTTCATATTGGGGATCGTCTTCGATTTTGGGTAATTCATAGCCATATTTCTGGGCCAAGACTAAACGATGTTTACTAATCTCTTCCGGATCAGCTAGATAACCACGATTTTCGGCCGATGTATAGTAGGCAATGGCATCTTGTGGCGGCAACATGCGCTTGGGTATGGGTACACCTTTTTCAAACCATTTCTGGGGATTTTTCAAGGCATGTAAACTTCTGGGATCATAATAGGCAGTGCGTATAACACCACCATTACGTTCGATGGCAGCTATTACCGACTCCTTGGCATGTTGTACTTCAATATTGATCTTAGCCTTAAATTTATCTGCTCCTTCATCGGTCAGCTGAAAACCAAACTCCTTGGTGGCTGGATCTATCTTAACCAAGCCGGTATTACACAAAGTGGTTAAATCAATGGGCTGGGATATATCAATGCGGTCTGTATCAATCATCACTTGCAGCTGTAGCAGGGAAATGGGTGGATATTGACGGCGCAAATGGTGTCCCTTGTAGTATGGCTCATAGGGGAAGCGCATATAGAAGGGCGTATTGCCTGTTTCATAACCAAGACGCATGAAATTTTGCCGCTGTCCAGAACCTTTGTTGCCGGCACCATGTTTATCACCACCATGCTGGGCACGACCTCGTTTATCCTAAATGGCAAAGAATTTTAATTATTAATGGTCTATTTTTGTGAAATTATACAAGAAGGCTAGCAATGTGCACTTACATTCTGTTTGGATTGAGGATTAGGCCTGATGTTGCCAATTTGTACCCGCGGCAAGGTGCGTAACATTTTTAAAGCCTTGTCGGCTGTCTCACGGAACTGCGACATGTTGGTTTCAATTGGTTTTTTACTTAATTTTTCTTAATTTATAAATTCTTTAAATTCCCAACCACAGAGCACACACCATCTAAAAACCTGAATCGATATTTTTCGATATCGATTAATTCTCAAATCGATATTTCATGGCAGCTGATTCGGTGTTGCACAAAAGAAACTAAAGCCGAGTACACACTATCATTATGTGCCTTTTTCCCACTGATTAAAACTGGGAAAAACATACATGTTCGTTGTTCCTCGACAGCCAGTCGTTGCTCCCAATAAAAAATGAGCAAATAAAAATGTAGTATTTTGCATAAATTTTTATGACTCAAAATAAAAAAATGAAAATAATATTTGTCAGTTAAGAACATGCTGAAAGAATGTAATACTTTTTTCTATGTTAAAGGCGTGAGTACATAAGCAGCTTGAAGTCTTCGCATGGCCTATTTTTTGACATGGTGTGTTCCAGAGTCTACAAGAATCTGCTATTACTATTTTTGCAACTTTTTTCTATATCATAAAGGAAAACCGGTTATACCGGTTTTACATTCTTGTAGTTCTGGAACAGACAATTCGTTTTAAAAGTACTTGTTGGTAGTAAAAGTTGCAAAAGAGCAAACAGTAAAGAATTTTTGTTGCATGCTCTCACAGAAAAAATAGTCACAGAAAAAAATACGGTAACAGAAAAGTAGCTACACTGAACAGACGTCAAAATTATTACTCTTTTCCAGTACCTGCAAGAATGTGCTAGTTTTGGAATTTTCTTCGATAACATAAAGGGAAAATCAGTTATCGTAGTAAGAACTTTTAGATTCTTGCAAATCTGGGACAGACCATATGTCAACAATAAAGACGCTAAATTCGATGAAAGTTATAGATTTTTTCATCCAAATGTGCAAAAGTGGTAAAAGTGACGAAAGTAGAAGATAGTTCTTTGTTTTGGAACGAAACTGTTAAAATCTCTTATAGTTATCGCAATTTTTCGCAAATTTTAACCAACAAAGTCCGGGAAGGCAACATCTTCCGAAAATAATAATGTGTACTCTACTTTAGAATTGTCAAAATTCCAATTACGTATCCCTATTTTATCATTCTTGTGAAAGTGTGTGTGATGGAAAACAATAATCGACTTTCCGAGTTTTCGATTTTGTTCTAAAATTTTAAAAAATCGTATATCGACTGCGGGTCTATTGTTCGATTAATCGGAAGTCATCTTACCTATCACTAACAATAAAAAAAAAAAAACAAAAATTTCTTAAGATTACCGAGCATAGTCTGTAAAAAAAACAACACCAACTAAAGAAAGGGGTACACAGTGCCACACAAAGAGTAAGTGTTTTATCTGACCAAGCAGTAAACAAAAAGTCTTTCAAAGTGTTGAACTTACCGCAATTTTTCGCAAACGCTGAGTCTTCAACGACAAGCACAAGAGCAGCTACCAGCAAAATGACCGTAAGTACCATTAGCTTCTTATATTTGATTATAAACAATTGTGAAAATGTAGTGAATACAATTTTTGTTCTATTTTGTATAGGTCCATGAGTTTAAAGTTGAAATGACCTGTTCCGGCTGCTCAGGTGCCGTGGAAAGAGTCCTGGGCAAATTGGGTGGTAAGTAGTTGCAAATGTAGGTGTGTGTGTGTGCATGTAACATAGATATGTCAATTAAAGGTTAAGGTGTCATGGTTGAATTTGTAAACCACGTCACACTGCAATTCGACAGTAGGATATGCTTGGTTTTCTTGTGATATTTAAGTTCCCTGGTATTTTTCCACTAGTTTCATAGGATCGTTAGTTATTAAATGGTCAGTAGTGACATCATCAGAATCATCCAAATCGCTCAGTGATTATTCTAGTCATTATTGAGTTCTAGATTTCATTGTTTATATGGAAATGGAAACTTGTCTTGGACCATAAATTCACAGGAATCAAGGTTCTAATCCATTTTGACAGCCATTTTTTTTTTGCAAGATTTCCAATTGTTTGTCCAATGTTGTCAAGCGGTCATTGAACGTGTATTTTTGAACCCATATTCTCTTATCGTACAATTCATCCTATCTTATCTATATCATAATCTTAGGTTCTTATTTTTGTTTTTATTTTTCTTTTTCTTACAGATAAAGTTGAAAAAGTAAGCATTGATTTGGATGATAAAACGGTTCTGGTTACATCGAATATGTCGGGCGAAGAACTTTTGGAAGTTATCAAGAAGACCGGCAAGCCGGCACAATATGTGGGCGTGAAAGAATGAAACGAAATGTTTTGTCGTTTTCGACGTATAGCTAAATTAAAACTGGAGGTATGAAGATTTGTGGGAAAGAAACAAAAACAACGATACAATCCTACAGCTGGGATGTGGAACAACAAAAGAACATACACAATACACAAAAAACAACAACAATACAAACAATTACTTTATTTATCTATGGGTTTTTCTGATTTATCTTAAAATGATACGATATCTCTTAGAAACGGTTTATGATGATGACAAAACAATACACCTCGGGAATACAAATGCATTTTTCCATGCTAATTAATAATCATGCACTGTGTGTGCAAAAATCGAAATAATTATGAAATCAAGATACATTTTCTTTTTTCCGGTAGAGTTTCTTCTTGCCTTCTTCCAAAAAAATAAAAACGAAAAGTAAAACATTAGTAAAATAATTTTAGAAACAAAATTTGAAATAGATTTCATGCCAAATTTGTGTGGTCCTTAAATCTTATGAATATATATATTTAAATATCAACAGAGTTTACACATAATCTATATACATATAATATATAAAACATACAATACAAATATATTTACTTAATTATTCAAATGTTACCAATATAAATACCAAGTAATTATTACATGAAAAAATATATATGAAACGAAACAAAGCTCAAGACAAAAGTATTTGTTTCTTGAAAAACAAATATGCTTTGTTTTCGAAACAGCTCTCAAAAATTTATTATATATAAAATAATACAAATTTAAAAATTACATTTTATTCAAATTCTTTGTCAAATTAGTATCAAATACAATATTATTATAAATAAAACAACATTTGTGAATTCAATTCAATTTAAAAAAATTGCTCTATTTATTTAAAAATGAGTTGCATTTCAGCCTCTTTTAATGTTACCTACTAGGCTTTGTTCCAAATGTTCAACTCGTTGCTCTAAGTTTTTTAGTGATTCACGTATTTCTATCATATCTCGCCTTAGATCCCCAATCGAGGTTATGTCAATGTCCCAATTAACATCATTTAGCTGAAAATTAACAACGAAAATAATTCAAATTTAAAGAAGTGTCACTGATCGACTTTTAAGTAAGGTAGGTAGACTTTTTAAAAACAGTCAGGAGTTTGGGTACTAGAAACATTGAAAAAGAAACTGAAAAATGCTTAAAAAGTTCTCTACAACCCAAGATCTTATAACTTCAAACCGCTTTCATTTTTAAGCCACTCATCCGACAGCTGTTAAAGTTACTCCAGTGACAGCTCCCTATATTGTTTACAAGCGTACAAAAGCATTTTGGTGAGAATTTTGCAGAAAAAATGTTATTCGTGATGGAATTCTAGCGTAATAGTGTGATTTCTTTATATTTGGCTGGAAAACCACAAGTGGCTATGTTTGGAGCATTCCAGCATTTAAATGTGAATAAATCTTTTGGGTCTCGTACCATCGCTCGTTAGGGTTACCATGATTCTGGTAGCGTAGCCCGACGTCAAGGAAGTGGAGGGAAGAAAACAGCAACATCAAGCAGAAATCGTTCAAAAAGTAAAGAAGCGATTTGATCGAAGAAACCCGCGTCGCAATGACCGAAAAATGGCTCGAGAGTTGAACATATCGCAATATTCCATTCCGTAAACATTGAAAAATGAGATCGGGGTAAAGTTATTGAAATTGCAAAAAGTGCAAGAACTTACACCGCAACAGAAAGAAAAAAGACTCAAAAAAGCTAAACACTTCCTTCGCTTGGGCGAAAATGATGAGTTGCCGAATTTGGTTTGGTTGTCTTCGATGAGAAAACATTCGTTGTCCAGCAGTTTGTCAACAAACAAAATGATCGGAGTTTTTCTTGCCAAAGAGGTCAGCTGAAAATGTGAACCTTCGGTTGGCCACCAGAACTTAAGCGCCGGCCATGGTGATGGTGTGGGCCGCCATAACAGCCGATGGTGTGGGCCGCCATAACAGCCGATGGTGTGGGCCGCCATAACAGCCGATGGTCGCTCTCCGCTCGTATCAATCGACCGTGGCATCAGAATAAATGCCGTATATTATCGCGAAAATATTCTGGAGACCTTGGACATTCGAACAGGACTCAGCACCATCGCATTCAGGACGTGCCACCAAAAAATGAGGTTACAAATTGAGGTTCCTCGCTTAATTTCCAGCCCACAGTGGCCACCAAAATCTCCGGATACCAATCCGTTGGACTATTGTGTCTGGAGTATTTTGGAAAGCAAGGTTGACCCCTAAAAAATACCAAAGTGTCGATCACCTCAAGAAAGATCTTCGCCGGGAATGGCCAAAATACCGCAGAGCAACATTCGGGCAGCGTGTGACGGTTTCATTGGCCATTTGAAGGCCATAATTCGTGCCAAAGGTGACCATTTCAAACAAATCTAAACCTAGTCTAAAAATTGATGCTATTTCCAGCATTTTTTGCTTTTATTCAATAAAATTTTAAAAAATGTTAAAATTATGGCGTTTGACTTTGTTGCAGTTTTTTTTATCTCATCTTGTGTTTCCAGGGTGTTGCAATGGTACAATAAAATCTTTTCAAAAATAATAATACCCGGACCATTGAAAATTATTATGAGCTCTTTAAAATTTTCTACAGCATAATTATTGCTCCTGAAGTCGTAAGAAAAACGCAAACAAAATATTTGTAGCCCTGGTTGGTGGAAATGTCTATATTAAACCCTAAGGCACATTTGCATAAGATTTATAGCCAATGAAGAATACCCCCTTCGACAGCTACACAAAAAAAAAACCATTTTGCTCCTAAAGTCGTAAGAAAAATTCAAACAAAATATTTGTAGCCCCTGTGGTTGGTTGAAAGAGAACATTTCTACATTAAACCCTAAGGCCCATTTGCATAAGTTTTATAGCCATTGAAGTGTACCCCCTTCGACAGCTACAAAAAAAAAAAAACAGTTTGCAACAACAAAAATGAAAAATCTTAATAGTAAATCTTGTTTATTAAAAATGTAAAATAAATACCTTTCGAAAAAAATCTAAAACTAAACAAAATGTGTGAAAGAGAAAAACTACAAACTAAAGTCAGAAATTACAAGCTATTACCACCCAATGTTAAAAATATTTGTTACTGGCATTGTTCTGGTAATCTCTTTTATGTGTACTAAAACCTTTAACTTTGTTTCCAGCTGGTGGATGTAACAACGAACTACTATTACCACATGAATCTGTTGTGGTCGAGTGTATGGCATTGGAAGTTTTTGGTTGGTCAGTAGATTTTGTTGGCGATCCATGTATGTGTTGGTGTACATGTTCAGAATAGTCACTATCAAGCACCTGGAAATTTTCATCGCGATGTCTATAGGCCATCGATTGCCTTGGATCTATGAGTATGGATTGATCACTGGCATTTGTTGTCATTGTTGAGGTTGTTGTATGTGGCTCAATACCACTTTCACTTAGATGGCATTCTCTCTGTACTTTTTCAGTCAATAATTCAATGTCGTAGGTATGCAAATTAGATTTCCAAACAAGGAGCTGAAAGATAAATAGGTATATTAAAATGGAATAAAATACACTCGGAATATACCCACCTGTTTATCATGTCCTGTGGTGGCAAATCTTGAACCATCGTGGTTAAAAGCCACCCCAGTGACTTTTCCTGTATGCCCCGTCAATGTATAGACCGGTCGTCCTTCTAATAAATCCAAAATTTTCATTGTTTCATCATCGCTGCAGGTGAGCATAAACTTGCCATTTGGATGGAAAGCCAAGTCATTAACTGGCGCTGCATGTACCTGATACAATTGTATCAATTGTTGGGCAACCAAATCGAAAATTTTAACTCGATTGCATGTCATGCCCACGGCAATCATATTCCCATCAGGATGCCATGCCAACTGACGACCCATACCTTTTTCTTCGGTAAAACATCGAACACACTGGCCAGAATTTATATCATAGATACGCAAGGTCTTATCGTCACCACACGAAGCAATCAATTGGCCACATGGACTAAATTTGGCCGATCGCACCCAGTTGGTGTGATGGGCGAATGATTGTAAAAATTTTCGTTGCACTACCTTCCATATTTTTACCGATTTATCATCCGAAGCAGTGACCACCATTGTACCGGTTGGATCGAAATCTACCGATCTTACTGGTTTGCCGTGAGCAAGAAATTCTCCAGAAACTCCCCTTAGTTTGGGTTCCCATATTTTTACGGTTTTGTCCTTGGAACAGGAGGCAACCAAGTTCGATCGTGGTGACCAACTAACACCATACACACTTTCGGTGTGGGCAGCAAAGCGTATGCACCTGGCCGCTTGTTTTAAATCCCACAATATCACCGAGGAATCTACAGAGAAGCAAAGCGTTGCCAAGGGCATGAAAACGAATTGAATTTTTTTGATGGCGTTGTTTACTCACCCAACGAACTCGTTGCCAATTTGCTTCCTTCAGGATTAAAACGAACCTGGGTAATTGCATTACGGTGTCCAGCAAAATGCCTTTCCAGGCAAGGATCCGCAAAGTCTGAGCAGCTAGCCATGATAATACCAGTTAAATTTAAAAAACAACACTCACACACACACACTCCGGCGCCAAACAATGAAATGAAAAAAATTAATGTGGGCTATTCACGTTGCAATGATAGCCCGGCAATGCTGTGCTATTAACATTGTTGAAGAATACAGGTAGTCGCATCGACAATGAACTGTCAAACCAATTTTAAAATTGAAAATTTTGAATGAAAAATTATTAAATTTTGTAATAATTGAAAAAATGCATATCATAACAACTATGGTACAATGAAGAGAAGGTAGGTCAACTTTGAAAAAATTGCAAGTATAGAGGTCTACCTGTTTGGCTTGTAATGTCAGAATTAGTATCAAAACAATAAAAAATCAAACAACTTGTTGCATTTATTTTGAAAAAAATTATTGAAAACCGCGATAGTTGAATGAAAGGTCAACACTTCTTTTCAAAATCATGTACTACATATCTCTAAAGGATTATTTCGCTACAAAAACTCTAGATTTTGTCGATGCATACGTTGAAATAATCATTTTGAAAACACCCGAATTTGAATGTTTTCTGAACATTTTTTTTTTGTTATTGCAAAGAAAACACATACATAAACAAATAAAGATGACATTTTAAGCCAAGAAAATAAAAAAATTAAAATCATATGGTAGTTCTGCCCTACCTTGATATCATTGTACTATGATAACAACCTCCGATTTGTGTCGTATAAGGACACCTATAAAAATATACTTATTAAAAAAAATGTTTGAAGCGTTTATACAATTTGTGGCATATAAGAAATTCTACAAAAATATTCTAATTTTTTAAAGAACATTTTAGCTGTATTCCTCTTCTATGGCTATTATTTTAGTTGAATAAAGTTGCCATATTGGGGATTTTATTTTAAAAAGGTTAGGTAAATATTAATTTAAGAAAGAAGATTTTCTGCATGGTACTATGAAATCAAGGTACCATGCATCATATGTTTTAAATTTTTTTATTTGGCTTGGCTAATTTTTTATCTTGGATTAATATGTCAACTTTATTTATTTATGTAAGTGTATTCTTTTCAATAATATGGAAATTGTTTAGAAAATATTCAAATTCGAGTGCTTTCAAAATGCTTATAGCAAGGTAGGCATGGACAAAATTTACAGTTTTTGTGGCGAAATAAATTTATCGAGATATATAGAACATGATTCTAAAAATAAATGTTGACCTTTCAATCAGTTTTTTCGTTTTTTAATCATTTATTCAAAATCAATGCAACAATTTGTTTTTTCTTTTTGTTCTGATAGTAATTCTGACATTACAAGCTTCTATACTTGCATTTTTTCAAAGTTAGCTACGTTGTCTTTATTGTACCATGATTTTCTGTTTCAAAAACTGCAAAATTAATTTTCGTTTTCTTTTTTCTGATGTCATAACAGAAAAATTGGAAGAGACGAATTATTGGTAAATTTGAAGGAAACATGAACAAAAACAAATTGTGCTTTCCCTTGGACCAAAGCACTTTTAACCCCTTAATTTCCTAATTTCGAAAAATACAAGGGTATGCCCAAATTTCAAGCCTCTATGCCTTCATCGATAGTGTATACTCCACTTCAATTAAGCGATAATATTGACACCACCAATCGATGTTGCAATGCTATCGATATCGCCATCGCTGATTTGCCCGCTCTAGTACAAGTCGTCGCCGTGAGATTTTTATATTTTTCTTTAGGTTGAAAGGAATTCCCACATTCTTGACAAGTTTGGTGGCGTAGCAATCCAAGGAATAATGGCTGCGCTAATTTTAACAAGGAATGTCCAATTGGCAAGTAAGTACTGCACAATGGTGAGCTATTCTTACAGATAATGGTTTCCCAAAGAAAATTCGCAAGCCAAAATTATGTAACGTAAAGGCTCACTTGGTGCTGTTGAACCTTAAATTGGAATTGTTTATGCTCATCACCGATTCCCTTTTTCCGCAGAACAACACACCAATGGCGTTTTGGGAGTGCTGTGTTTGCGTACGGCTAACTATTCCAGTGATGCCCCACGTTCCCTTAAGACCACCAACTTGAGTGCCATGAAACGCGGTACCGGCGGACGCAGCAGTTTCAATGGCATTGTAGCCACAGTGTTTGGCTGCACCGGCTTCTTGGGTCGTTATGTGTGCAACAAATTGGGCAAATCGGGTACCCAAATGATTTTGCCATACCGTGGTGAAGACTCTGAAGCCATTCGTCTCAAGGTTTGTGGCGATTTGGGTCAAGTTTTGTTCCAATTTTATCATTTGTGCGATGAGGAGGCCATCCGCAAGGCTGTCAAATACTCCAATGTGGTCATTAATTTGGTGGGCCGTGAATATGAGACAAAGAATTTCAAATTCAACGATGTTCATGTTGATGGTGCTCGTCGCATTGCACGGTGAGTATCCGTAGCTGTTTTGTATGGTTTTAATAACATTGTCTGTTTTGGTTTTAGCATTTCCCGTGAAATGGGCGTTGATCGCTTGATTCATGTGTCGGCCTTGAATGCCGATCCCAACCCAAAGAGCCACATCATTGAGGGTGGCAGCAATTTCTTGCGCAGCAAATACTGGGGTGAACAGGCCGTACGTGAAGAATTCCCCGAAGCCACCATTATCAGACCAGCTGATATCTATGGCTCTGAAGATCGTTTCTTGCGCTACTATGCCCACATCTGGCGTCGTCAAATGCGTGCCGTTCCATTGTGGCACAAGGGTGAGCGCACCTTTAAACAACCCGTTTATGTTTCGGATGTTGCCCAGGCCATTATCAATTGTGCCAAGGATCCTGATACTGCCGGTCAAGTTTACCAAGCTGTTGGGTAAGACCACAAATAGCAGTGCAAAGAAATTTATATTAAACTCATCTCACTTTTAGACCCAAACGTTATCAATTGAGCGAATTGGTCGACTGGTTCCATCGCATTATGCGCAAAGATTCCGAATGGTGGGGCTATCAACGTTACGACTCCCGTTTCGATCCCTCCTTTGTCTTGAAAGCCAAACTTACCGAAATGATTTGCCCCGGTGCCCCCGTCGGCGGTCTCCATCCCGAACGTTTGGAACTTGAATGTGTCTCTGACAAAGTGCTAAACAATGTACCCACCCTTGAAGATTTGGGTGTTCAATTGACCCCAATGGAAAATCAAGTACCATGGGAATTACGTCCATATCGGGCTGCTTTGTACTACGATGCCGATTTGAATGAATTCGAAAAACCTGCACCACCCAAAACAGTCACACCACGCGAAGAACAGCGACTCTCTGCATAAGATATTCGTAAACGCCACCATGACAATGAAACGATGTCGATCCCAATTGCCGGACAGCACAAACGCCAACGCAAAGATCATCAACAAAGTTGGGGTTGGTGGTGGCCTGCACATCGTTTAGTAGGGAAACGGTTGCGTTTACGAGAATTATTATTTATTGTTTTGGTGGTACGTTCGCTGTGGTATGGTGTATTTAGTGAGGAATATTTAAATGAAATTGAACAATTTTTCCAACAATAAAAATGGATTCGAGAAAAGCAAAATCACAAGTCGTAACATGAAAATTGAAGGTGTTATATTAAAATAATTTAATCTAAATAAAAAAAATGTAAAGAGTGTAACACTCGAAACCTTAAAAAACAAGAGTTTTTTTTTGTGGATGAAAAATAGAGTACTGCGTGAAATGTTTGTATATAAAAATAAATCCAATTTTCAGACAAAAATCCAATTTTCTTTTCAAATTGAAATGGAACCATTATTTTGTAGCAAAGACTATTTAACAGAGAAAATTAATTAAAGTAAATCCTATCTCTAAAATTTGGAATAATTTTACAAAATTTGAAATCAAAATAAGGTTTATCTCAAAAAAAAAAATATATATTTTTTTGTTAGAAAACAAGAAGAAAAGCAGCTAAAAGCTCCACAATTTGGAAGGAACTTGCAAAAGAAAAAAGTAAAAAAATGCTGTTAAAATTTTGAAAATTCCAAATATCAGGACTTTCAGCTATGCGGCACTATAAGAAAACATGGACCTCTGTAACCAATTACCTACCAGACATCAAGGAAGGTGCATATTATTAACTCCAAATACCAAGTGTGAGATAATTCTGTTGAAAAATGTAGCTAAAATCAACAAAATACCGAATAAAGGGAGCGGCCGTAGTGATCTGCACAGGTAATTTTCATAGGAAGTAGTACCAATAGCAAACTCCAAATATTAAAAAATTCCGGTGAAAAATGGAGCTAAAATCATGAAAATATTTAATATAAGGGGAGATACCGATTTATGGGGGTTATACGAAAACGTGGGCCTGTGTAAGAAATTTTCTGTTAGTGTAGGTGGTATCCATCAGGAACTCCAAATAACAAATTTGATAAAATTCCAGTGAAAAATTATGATGCAAGTTATCAAAATACGATCGGTGGAACAGTTATATGGGGACTATAGCCAAACATGGATCTACAGGGTGAAATAAAAAAAACTGCAACAAAGTCAATAATTTTTAATTTTTTTTTAATTTTGCTTTCATTCAAGCAAAAAATGTCGGAAATAGCATCAAATTTTAGAATAAGTTTAGGTTTGTTCGAATTATGGCCTTCAATCGGCCAATGAAACCGTGACACGCTGCCTGAATGTTGCTCTGCGGTATTTTATATCATTCCCCGAATGCGCTGGAAATGAAGCGAGGAACCTTATTTTGTAACAATTCTTGGGTGGCGCGTGCTGACTGCGATGGTACTGAGTCCTGTTGGAATGTCCAAGGTCTTCGGCCAAAATGTTTGCGTACCAAAGGCTTTAATACACCATCCAGAATATGTTCGCAATAATATTCGGCATTTATTCTGAAGCCACGGAGAGCGACCATCGGCTGTTGTAGCGGCCCACACCATCACCATGGCCGGCGCTTGAGTTCTGCGGGCCAACCGAAGGTGCACATTTTCAGCTGACCTCTTTGACAAGTAAACACGATAATTTTGTTCGTTTACAAACTGCTGGACAACGAATGTTTTCACATCGGAGAAAACAAAATTCGGCAGTTCACCACTTTCGGCCAAGCGAAGCAACTTTTTTGCTCTTTTGAGTATATTTTCTTTCTGTGGCGCTCGTTACCGTGATAAAGGGAAAATCGGTTATGGTAGTAAAAACTTTTACATTCTTACAGTTCTGGAACAGACTCTTTATGATATCGAAAATTTATAATATTGTAAAAGTAGTAGATTCTTTTAAGTACTGGAACAGAGAAAATATTTTCAAAACCAATGATTGAAAGACACGTTCATTGCGGCTCGAGCATTAATGCTATTAACCAATTTAGCCATAAAATTGAAAGATTGAAAAGTTAAGATCACATTTTTGATCTCCCGCTATTTAACTCAATTGAAAAATGAGGAAAAAATATGAAAAAAAATTTGTTGTTTATAATTTTGAATAAGTCTGACAGGAAGCGGGAATAGCCTCAGGGCTGTATTTCTACGAAGATGTTCTACCTCCTTATTGTACCACGCTGATTTTGACTAGAAAAGAAATTACTTTCGAATATGAATTCGCTTCTCTGAAGATTTCCTTTTATATTGAGATCTATTAAAGAATTTGAATAAAATATTTAAATTGAAAAAAGTGTGAGAAATTTAAATTATGGAAGTTTCAAAATTAATAAAAATTCGACTTTTTTTTCCAATTTTTTTTGTCTTTGATTTTGTTTTTTATTTGAAATTCATAAGGTTTAACATCAATATTTTTTTCATATGTTTAATGAATGCATGTGTGTGCATGCAGCATTGTTATATTCTGTATATAATTATTTATTTATTTTTATTTTTTGTTCATTCATATTCAATATGCCTTCATTGTTGTTGTTGCTTCATTTCTTTCACAATAATTAGTAATAATAATCATAATAATAATAATTAGAGTAAGTTTGTAATACTAGTGACTATATAGAGTGTGTGTGTAATAAAACTGTATGTATATGGGGTGGTGGATTTTGGTTTTAAGTACATACTTAACAAAATAATTCTACAAAAAATATTTATTTATTTTTTATATAAAAAAAGCTTAGCTAAATTTATCATAATCTTGTGGGTTACACATTTAAAGATAATTTTGTTTCCTTAAAAAAGAAATTGATAAAGAATTTAAAATAAATACTAATTAAAAAAATATATATTTTTTTAATTCAAATTTTCAGTTTTGTTAAAAAAATAATAATTATACAGTGTTTTATAAAAACAAATCACGTTTTGCGTTTTTGCTTATTCAATGTTTTTGTTGCCTGGCGAATTATATTCCTTGTTGACTATATTTTTTTTTATAAAAAATATGGACATAACCTATTAAGTACCGGTAGGAAGGGGGACTAACAAAAAAGGAAACAGAGAGCCTTATATTGGTGTAATTCTTTTTTAACCATTTTGCGAGGTCTATGATCGCATGTAATGTCATGATGACAAAAAAGTAGGAAACTCTTGGGTGTGGTGACTTAATTTAGGATCATCTATTGGGGTAATACCATAACCTATACGACTACAACTAGTCTTGTTGTTGTTGTGATGCTATGAATAAGTATTATTTTGTTTATAATAAAATACACCATCGTCTATCAAGTGCCTAGCATGTGGGGGTGGAGGAGTATTGCTGAAAAATGCAAGGAAGGAATACAAAATTGCAACTGAGTAAAAATTATTAAGAAAAACTAATGTGCAGCTAATATTTTTCAAATGACAGACAACGAAGGTTTGTCCTAACCACAAACACTATTCACTGGGACCATCTGGGGAGCTTTCATAGGTCCCTTGTTTCTTTTTATTTTTCTTTAACTGTTTTTCGTTGCCGTCACCACCATCGTCCTCATCATCTTCTGCCACCGGGGTATTGAGATCACGTTCAAATTCATCCAAATCATTATCATTGGCATCCACCGACAACGGCTGCCATGTATCCAATTGTTCGGCATTAAATTCTAAGGGAATTTCCGTACCCGTAACATCACCCAGACGGGCTCTTAAACGCTGCGATATACCTTCCAATTCGGTAAATTTACGTTTAATGGCCTGTCCCAGATTTAAATGGGCCAAATCAAGAGTTTGTTCAAACTGATCGATAACCGAATCCACGGATGTTGTGGATGCCGCCCCGACACCGAGATGATCTCCACCACTTTGGGCCGTAGATCCCACTGTGGCCATATTTGTAGCTGGTATTTCTTCCAAGGGATGACAACGTATCTCCAACTGGCCATTAATGCGTCCATTAAAATCCACAATATTAAAACGTCCGGCAATGTGTAGACCCTTGGTAAAAACTGTTAAATCTAGGGCGGCAAAACCGATAATGGCATCTTCAATGGGTGTGGGTTGAGTGCGGCCCTGTGCCAGGTCTAGGGCGGATTTTTTCCATACCTTCAGGATAAAACGCTTTTGGGGCTGGAAAAAATAGAGAAGAGAAAAATTAAAAAAAATGTCGTTGTCAGAATAAGGGGATGGAGAGAATAAAAATGATAGAGAAACAGAGAGGGAGAGACGTGAGGAGAGTAGATATTTTTTTCGTAGAAAAGAGTTCACAGATGCAAGTTTTTCTTGAATGAACCGGGTAGTATCATTAGACGAATGGAACTGGTAAGGGAGTCTATAGGGCCAGGTCGTCAATACTGATGAGATGTCGGAGAGATATTTTTTCATAGAAAAGATTTCACAGATGCAAGTTTTTCTTGAATGGACCGGGTAGTATTATTAGAGGAATGGAACTGGTAAAGGAGTCTATAAAGCCAGGGCTTAAATATTGATGATATGTCGAAAAACCGAGGATACATATGTGACAGAGCGAGGGGAGAGTGGATATTTTTCTATAGAAAAATAGTACGTTTTTTTTCTGAATGGAGCGGCTACACTCTGTAGACAAATGGTACAGGCGAGGGAAGGTATATATAGATGAGTTGAGTGGGTCAGGGAATTAATTATGACCGGCTGAATGGGACTGTCTAGTATACGTAGACGAGCTGAATCGGACAGGGCGTCCCCAGGGAGATGTCGGGAAGAAGAGACTACATATGTTTCAGTATGTGTGAGAGAGAGGGGGGCGACAGGCTATTTTCCTATAGAAAAAAGGGAATTTTTTCCTGAATGAACCGGGTAGACTCATTAGACGAATGAACCTTGGCAGAGGAGTCTATATAGACAAGCTGAGTGGGTCAGGGAATTTATATAGACGGACTGTCTAGCACATCTATGTAGACAAGCTAAATAGGCCAAGGTGTCTATAAGGAGGTGAACAATCTGAATTGGGTAGGGAGTCAATATAGATATCAGGGATCAGAGAATTTATCTAGACCGGACTGCCTAGCACATCCATGTAGACAAGCTAAATAGGCCAAGGTGTCTATAAGAAGGATGAACAATCTAAATTGGGTAGGGAATTCCATTGGAAGTCTTTACAAATTAGTTGAATTGATGAGGGTGTGTTTTTTAGGTGAGCTGCACAGTTCGGGAGTCTATATAGACGAGGTGAATGGGTTTTATCAGGAAGTCTATATAGGTGGAAAAATTGAGAGGAAAACATATATATAGGGAAGCTTAATGTACAGAGATTTTATATAGACTTACATTATAAAGATAATCAATGGTGGCGGAGAGACGATAACGCTGCTGCCATTGGGGTTGACATGATTTTTCGACAATAGTGGTGGCATAGACCATACCCTCGTGCGATTTATATGTGGCATAGGGTCCAGCCTCTGCTTGGAATGTAACATAGGTATTGGGCGCCTCGTTGGGTGGGAATTTCTTGGAGGCATTACGCTGCTTAGCGCCCTTCTTGGATTTTGCTGCAGGATTCAAGGGCAAACCAAGGGCTTTTTGTATTTCCAAGGAAAATTTGAAAAGTTTTAGATTTGATTGCTGCAAGGGTTTCAAGGATGGGGATGCCGACGATGTCATGGCCGCAGATGATGCTGCTGCTGTTGATTGGGCCGTCATGGTAGTATCTGGGGAGCCACCAGACTGGGGCTGGGGTGTCATTAGCACCTTGTTTAACATGTCCAATAAATCCGAGGTGTTTTTTAGTTTGGCGGCCGATGATTTAGCCGGGAGATTGCTGTGTGCTTTATTTGCTGTTGGCAATGACGGCGGCACATTCTTGGAAGTACTGGCAATTTGTAAGGGCTTAAGGTTTTGCAATAGTTTACGCTCCTGTAAACTGGTAGCCATTTCGGAGTTAAAGGTAATACTAAAGCCTCGTGTGTCCTTTAGGTTTTTGATTTGTTCCTCACTGCCCACAGCCAAGAGACACTTGAGTTCACCAATTTTCAGCCCACTTTCCCAGTTAATAATTGGCGCCCAGGCATCAATGGAAATTACGGGAAGCTAAAGCAAACGATTGCCGTTAGAGACACACACAGAAAATGATGAAGGATTTCATCTTACCTTTCCCTTACACAAATGATTGGTAATGGCTGCATCACGATAGGCTATGTAAAACTGATGCAAGGGTATGCGCACCATGCCAATGGCCTGGAGATTTTCCTCACAATTGCCATTGCCATCGTCGGAGCTCATGCGTTGCCACAATTCCAAATGCAAATATTGTTTGTCGACACGCTGCAAAAACTTGTCATCATTTATGACGGAGAATTGCTGCAAAGGCATGCAAAGGAAGGGAGGTTAGTTATTCGGAATTTGTGAAAATAATTTTACTGCTTACCTCCTGATAGTTAAACTTGTTGCCATCATCGGCCTTGGCTGCCACAGGTTCATCTAACCAAAAGCGCCGACATATAAGAAACTTTTGAGGCTGTGACTGCAGCTCAAGATTGCGTGCCTCATTGGCATAAATGAATCCCTTAAGCAGGCGGATTTTTGTTGTCTCATCATCAAAATGCGATTGAGCTACCTGTAGCTTGTTCGAATTGTTATTTTGACCTGGAATTGAAGAAAATTTTTAAAAAAAAAGTTAGTGCATCCACTACAGGTGCATCCACTACAGGTGATACTTGGGTTTAGTAAATTTATTTTCCGAATTTTGTTCGGATATGATGGATGTGTACATATTAGATATTATATGATTATATATTTTATATTTGGTAGATCTGTTAACTTAATTTCAAACTTTTCTCCGTCCAGATTTAAATATATATCACATGGATATTTCTCTCTGATTTAATGAAAACCATTTAATATAGACCGAATATTTATTGGATATGGGTAATTGATGTTCCCGGCATATATAACTGCTTAATTGTGTTCAAATCGATTCAGATTTAAATAGGTCTTTCTCTACACTTATCTTCATGTATAGACTAGAAATATATCTGTCTTGCTGTATTCAAATCATTACAGATTTAGATACGACTTCCTCCACACATAAACAAATTTCACATTAAATTTTAAAAAAATTAGGGGGGTTGAGAACTTAAAGTCTTATTTTTTTAATTTTCATATATTTTAATAATAAAAAGGTGTTTGAAGTTGCGAGATTTTATTTAATTTAATTTTCTATTTGCTCGTTTTTGTTAATCGACAAACAAAAAAAAAATAATAAAAAAACCAAAACAATCTGAGGTTATGACCAAAAACAGGGTTTTGGATTTTACCAATAGTTCCATGAAAATCTCATTTTAGGACGATGGTGTCAATGGAATAAATATTCTCAATAAAAAAATAAAATGGGACATAAAACAAAAAAGACTTGTAGATACATTGTGTGCCATTAAAATATTGCCAACAAATTGGTTTAAATATTTCAAGGAAAACATTGCCATTTTTTAGGTTAGTTTAGAATTTGCAAATTTTTCGTACGACACTTTATTTTAGCAGATCAGTGCCAAGGGAAAAATATTCTTTATCGAATTTTAATATATGTCCAAGAATGAATTAAATTCTTTACTTAATAAATATCTTAATAATATAAGTTTTAAATTTTCTATATTATGAAGCAATTTTCTGGGGGTACAGTTTCGAATGCTTTTGGTATTATGCCAATATATTCTTTTAGAGAAATTGTGTCAATGGAGAAAATATTCTTCAAAAAATTCTACCATTGAAGACAGAGCCAATTTATATTTATAGCTACATTGTATGCATTAAAATAACACCAACAAATTTACAAATTTTTATAAATATTCACACAAACATATTTCATAATTTTTAGACTAGTCTGGGTTTCCACAAAATTTCCCAACAATACTTGGTGTTAGCAGAGTAGTGTTAAAGAAAAAGTTATTCTTCATATAATTTTAGTACGAGTTCCCAACCAAGTGGATGCTGTAGATTTTACATTTATCAAAAGAAAATATATAATTTTAAATGGAATGATAATTTTTCGTAGTTTTAAGGTTAGTTTGGGATTTCGCAAAATTTACCCAAAATACTAGACTTAAAAGGAATAGTTATTCTTTATAGAATTTTAGCATAGGTCTCTAATCAAGGGGTCCTGTAGATTTCATATTTATCTTAAAGAAAATATCAGTTTAAATGATGTCTTAATATTTCGTATTTTTTAGGTTAGTCTGGGATTCCATAAAATTTTCCGACAATAATTGGTGTTAGCAGAGTAGTGTCAAAGGAAAAGTTATTCTTTATAGAATTTTAGCATGAGTCCCCAACCAAGTGGATGGTCTAGATTTTATATTTATCTAAAAAAAATATCACTTTGATTGGAGCGATAATATTTTGTTGATTTTTAGGTTAGTTTGGGATTTCGTAAAATTTACCCAAAATACTAAATGGAATAGGAATAGCCATTTTAAAGAGAATTTTAGCATAAGACTCTAATCAAGTAGAGGTAGAAGTTGGTCCTGTGAATTAATAATTATTTTAAAAAAATATCAGTTTAAATGATGTCATAATATTTCGTATTTTTTTAGGTGTGTTTGGTATTCTACAAATTTTCCCCACAATACTGGATTTTAGCAGAGTAACGTCAAAGGAAAAGTTACTCTCCACAGGATTTCAGTATATGTTCCTAAACAAATGTATTCCGTAGATTTAATATTTATATTAAAAAAATATCAGTTTGAATTAAGAATTTTCGAATCTTGGGGAGACGATATATCAATGGAGAAAGTTTGTTCCATTTTATGACACTATTAAGCAATTAAGACGTCATATGTTGAATGAATTTAAAAGAAAAAAACTTCCAATGGAAGTTTACCAAATATCACATAACCCTCTTAAAAACTACTGGAATCTGTAGAGCAAATTTTCTTCTTTGTCTCTACTACTGGTCATAAACTAAATAATAAAAAAAGGAAACAAAATTTGTTTGTTGTTTTTTTTGTTTTGTTTTTTTTTTTTGTGTGTGTTTTTGTTGTTATTATTTTTTCGATTGCTTGCAACAAAATTGCAAAACCAAATAAATTTATTTTCAAACATATAATCATAAACCAATCTAAGAATATTATTGTTAAGCATAGCCATACAACAAATGGTATTGTAGTGTCCATGTCCTTTACAAAATCATTAGGTCCATCTGCTGTCGTCGTCATTGTCGTCATAATACAAATTTTCGGGTAATTCTTACAAATGTTAGCTGTTGCCACAGAGTGTTCTTGCAACAATCTTAGTCATTGTATTTTGCTGTGCTTTACAAACCAGAAATTTTCAGTATAATCACCTTTTTCGGTTGATGATTTATCAGTGGCCAAATTGTTTTGATTTTGATTCGGTTGCTGGGCCGCATTGGATGTTGACACATTTTGTTTATCAGCAGCTGATGAGGATGCCGGGGTCTTGTCATCACTGTCACTATCACAACTGGACTGTTTGGGTAGAAATACATTACGTTTCTTGAGAATATTATTGGCAGCTGTGACATTGCGCTGCAGTGTTATTTTAAAGTACAGACATGCCAAATGACGACCACGACGTTGGATTTCAATGCGTTTACACTGTTCCAGCAGTGAGGCATTGTAAAGATCGGATAATTCCAGGGTGCCCATGCCCAACATTTCATTGAGACAGGTGCCGGGTTCACGCCACCACACCGTAAAATATATACGACCCAAATTGATTTCACTCAACTCATTGCCATTCTCATCGAGATCCAATTTAACCGCACGTTCATCCTTCTGCCCGAAGCGAGTGCATTGGGTTAGACTTTGGAATTTTTCCGATTCGAATTGTATGATATGGAACATGTCACTGCGTGGCACCTTCTTAATAAGCTCATTCGAAAACTGGCATTCCACCGTGAAAATGGGACGTATTTCACTTGCCATCAAATTCATTGATTTTGTACCCTCCGGTTGTAGGGTTAGGGCTTCCATTTCTAGCTTAATGCCATGTATGGTTTTGAAAATGTTCAATTTTGTAGCGGGCGATAAATCGTCCAAGCGGGTAGTAATATTTTGTTCATCGCTATCATTGAGATTAATATCATGTACTACCTCCTCAGGAATCTTAGAGGTGATTTCAGTTTCACCAGCCAAGTAGGCAACTAATTTAGCATCGAGTTTCTTCATGGCTTCAACAATTTCTTCAGATTTCGTTTGTGTTGATAAACGTTTGGATTTGTCACCTGCAATGGAAAATGAAAAAAATTAATTTAGTATTGTTTTGATGCATTTAAACAAAAGAATTAAAATAATTAATTTTTGGGGGTTTGTTGAAAATTTTCAAAATTTAAAAATTGGCACTATGATGATCTCGAATACATAAAAATTATAAATCAAAAATTGTGCGCCCATTTAGTAAGGTATCAAAACACACATAACAAATTTAAGCAAAATATTTTTTTTAGCTTAAAATTTAAACAAAATATATATTTTTTTGAGGTTAGGTTGATTTATACAAAGTAATGCTTCCTTCTCATCCTCTTTCAATTCTTAGTGTTAAGAGAAAAAGAAGAATTATTAAAGCTGTTACTATTTCCAAGGATGTACTTTTCTATAAATGTTGCCCTTTTTGAGGTTAGGTTGAACATGTTTTTTTCATTACATTGAGCACATTTTGTATGTTTTTATAAAACTTTAAATGACAAGTGAACTAAAATCCTTTGTATTTGTTGTTCTCTTTTCAACTTTTGGTTTAAAACCACTTTTCGAAATATACATAAAATTGTTGTGTTGAACGGCAGGCAGGCAGGTTTTCAGCAATTGTGTTAAATTCAACAATTTGAACACTTTTTACACACGTTTTTGTTTATTATTATTTATTAAATTTGAAAGGATTTCATTGAGAAAAAATTCACAAAATTTTACACTTTATTTGTATTTTCCTCTTACCCGCTACAAAACATAAATAAATCGCAAATTATTTGCGAAAAAACTGATGCGACCTTTCTTTGCAAAGTGTTGAATACAATAAGTTTCAATACGGCAATTGTATGCCAATAAATAGAGAATTATTCCCGGGATTTATGAAATTATCATCAATTTGAATCATCAGCATCGTTATAAATTATTCTAGGCTGGTGTTGTTGTTGTAGCGTCTTAGTTATCATCGGAATTATACAATTTTCAATTGAATATGTATTGTGGGGCTAGTTTCCTGGCCCATCATTTTTTTTTTTTTTTTTTTTTGATTTCCCGTATCAACAATATTCCAATTAAGACTTAGCGACTGAGAATCTTGGTATATATTTAAACTACAATGAAAGATTGTTTGAAATGATAAGGACTAGACAAAAATCAAGTAAAGGTTCAAATAATACAATAAGAAGTTGAACCCCTTATCGGAGATGCTGATGCAATGTTGCAATTTTGTTTTATTCTGCTACCCAAAAAAATGTAGTGAAATGGGTCCAGAGTAATTTATTTTCTATTTTTCATTGTAAATCTATTTATTTAATATCAATTTTTTATGGAAAACTTTGATTTCTATAGTTGATGCTTCCTTTTATTTCGTTACTACCAATAAAAGCCAATTATCTCCTCTCCCATCATATCATTGTTTACATTTGATTTGCAACGGTAAGTTGCTCTCATGACACTGCACCTTACACATCTCATCTCATACGTTTAATTATGAGGTGAATATGACAGTTTTGTCACACAATTCAGTTATTACAAGGTCGCCTGGCAACAAGACAAGTTGATCAACAGATTAAATGCCCAAAATATATTTAGACTTTAATATTTCCTTATTTAAACAAATAAGTCACTGAACGAATTTAAATACTTATCACCAAAAAAACGAATTAATATATAGAAATAAAAAGAACATTTTTTCAGTATATATGTACATATATATTCTATACCATAAGATTGTTAAAATATTTTCTAATTGTGATTGTGTGTTTTTTTTTGTCATTTCACAAAAATCACAAAAATGATGACGCTTGTACCTTTCTTATCGATTATAATTGTATGACAGACTGATGTATGTACATTATAAATTTATTATATATGAATGTATATTGTTGGTATATATGAAGAAATTTTCCTCTGCATAATAGCCTTCATATGTGCGATGTATGTAGATATGCATAAATGAATGACAGACAAGACATAATTTAATTTCTTTGTTTGACTTTGGTGCTCGGTTTAGCTATACTTGTTTGCATAACACTTGAAGAATGTCTGGGTGAAGACAATTGAGGATTGTTGAAATAAGAAGAATAATAAAAAAAATAATTACATTATCCTTGTGCCAGAGCCACATATGATAAAATATTCAAAGTGACATATTACATTGTCTGTACGGACTTCGTGGCGCTTAAAGAAGGTATATTCAGCTGATATTTATAGACGATAAATGTAAAAATGTTACTACGATAACCGATGTATTATATCAAAAAAATAAATGTAGAATTAGTAGATCATTGCAGAGCTGATACTATTTAAAAATTTGTGACTTCTTTTATTAGCAATTAAAATCAAATTGGATAGTCCAATGAACCCTTATGAAGTCCACAAACTATGGTAATATTACAGAAGTATAGAGAAAGGACAAGTCAGAGTCAAAATATTGACACCAGGTGTAAATCCACCTGCTCCAACCATCTGTTTTTATGATATCATAACAATATACTCACCAATATTTAATGGTTTTAACGCCAAATAGAATTTTAAATTAATTGAAACGTCCATGAAATACAATTTTAAGCCCAAATTTTTGGTTCAGAGAAAATGTTATGCGTAAAACTGCTCTGCAATAGTGTTTTTATGCTAACATGTCTCTGTTGTGAAAAGCGGCCCTAAAATTATACAGATAGCTTCAACATAGCTGCAGGCACATTGAGCAGTCAAAATATTTTTGGAAATCTACATTTTGAATGACAAATTATTGAAATTTGTTGAATATCATATATCATTTAATATTTTAAAATTAATTTTTTTTTTGAGATATTTTTAAATATTTTTGGCATATCAATGTTCGCGAGTGTTGATGCATCTACCGGTATTCTTATATCATGGCCTCTACATACTTTTAACCATGATACAATAAAAAGTTAAGGTAGAGCTTCCAGCTGCTAGGCAGCCAAGTGTGCCCGACTTCTGCCAAATTTATGTATGCTTTTATTGTTAAAAAAAAAAACAAAATATTTTCAAAATCCATGATTAAAAAACGTACATTGCGAGGAGTGCATTTAATATATTAACCAGTTTTGCCATGGAATTGAAGGATTAAACGGTTTGGAGCATAGTTTTGAAAGAAAATCCAGGTATTTCATTCATTTTTCACCTTTTTAAAATAATTTGATGAAGGAAAGTACAAAATCATTTAAAACTACTTGTTGCATATAATTTTGAATATTTCTGATGGGATGCGAGCATAGCTTCAGTGCTGTATTTCTATAGTTTTACGAAGCTGTTCTATCTCCGTATTGTACCATACTTTTAACCTTAACTATATTTCTATAATGCATTTTGTCCAGTCTTGGAAATCCGATGTCTTTGCTTACAAAACCGTAATCCATGTCACATTGAAACACATAGTCTATTGCAGACCCCATCATTTCTTAGCATATTTTCTCAGATTAAATTGACACAAAACAAAAAAAAAAAAATAATGTTTGGGAACAGAACAGCAAAAGTTGTGCAATATTCAACTAAATTATAGAAATCAAATCCTCATTTTTTATAATATTTCGCAATTACATTAATTTCATTTAACATCACACTATGTCAATTTGTGGCGTATAGTCTATAGCACACTTCATTATCTTTGTAATCATTGCATTATTTATAATAGATGGCTCACGTTACATTTAAGCCGGTTATATCAACCGGAACAACAAGATGCACTGAGTGCGAGAGAGAGTGAGAGGAGAGGCGTTACATTTAAGCTGTCTAGCTGAGTTATGTCAGAAAACACCAACAAGAAAAGGAAATGGTACGGCGAGGGAAACGGAAAACGTGTGCAATATTATTATTCCCCCCCATTGTCGGGTTATGCAAGGAAAAAATCCATTTCGATTTCGTTCTTATGTGTGCAACATGTTTCAAAACGAAAGCAAAATCTGATAAGCTAAACAAAGGCACATTAAGAGGAGAGAGGGAGAGAGAGAGGTAGGCAGAGAATGTGCAAATCGACTAATTTGAAGGCCAATGACAAAATGTGTTGCTTTTTGCAGTTTATTCTGGATATGTGGGCATGTACTTGTTTGTTTCGTTTTGTGAAGACGATTGAAATCAAAAACAAAGAAATAAATAAAATAGTAAACTATAAATTAATTTTAGAGAATGGAATTCGTATGCAAAATTGGCAGTTACACCAGGAAAGTGGAGAGAAAATGTGGCAAATTTCATCTTGATTGGACTTAAATGTGGCATGTATCTTAATCAGGTACCGACACAGCCAGGGGCTGCAGGGACGTCGGTGTAAGTAGGTATTTGTGTTTTTTTATTGAGATTACATTAAATCCCCTTAAAATGTCATTCTTAATAGCAATTATAGGTCTAGCAATTAACATTTTTACAATATTTTAAAAATGATCCATTTACTATACTAAACATGACAATATTCGCCATAGCGTCCACACATGTTACATTTCGATCCCTAGTTTTTTTTAAATCGCTACAGCAACAGTGATTTTTAATTCTTTCCACATTGTTTCATATACTCTTTGCGCCAAAGTCAATGGAATTTTTTTTTTCGCAAATTTGCTAAATATGTTCAACAAAAAAAAAAAATAAATAAGGGAAACAAGCGTACACATACAACTATATATTTACATATATATAGAGAAATTCCCTCATGCGATAGCGACACTAGTTTCTGGGATCTACACACAACAATTGACGACGTAAACGTTTCGATTATACAGGGCTTTGGCAATCAAGAGAGGGTCACACATTTCGAAAAGATCGACAAATGGGACGTCTATACATACATATATATAAAGACATTATATATAGATAGTTGAGGAGATAATAGGTACAAAACAAACAAGTTCATTAAACTTTCTAGTTCTAGTTGTTTGTGTAATTGTTGTGTATATTTCGTCAAATTCTGTAAATTGAATAACATAGTATTTAGATTTAAATTTAAAATTTAATAATATACAGGGTGAGATGAAAAAACTGCAACCAACATTAGACTGCTGTCATTTCTAAGTCACTCGTCCGACAACTGTTAAAATTGTTCCAGGGACAGCTCATTAAATTGTTTACAAGCGTAGAAAAGCATTTTGGTGAGAATTTTCAGAAAAAAGTTATAGCTGGAAAACCACAAGTGGCTATCGTTCGAGCACTCCAGCATTTAAATCTTTTGTGTCTCGTACCATCGCTCGTTACCGTGATACTGGTAGCGCGGCCCGACGTCAAGTAAGTGGACGGAAGAAAATAGCAACATCAGCAGAAATGGTTCGAAAAGTAAAAAAGCGGCTTGATCGAAAGACGCGTCGCAGTGGCTCGTGAGCAGAATATTTCGCAATATTCCATTCGTCAAATGTTGAAAAATGAGCTCTTCCATTCGTCAAATGTTGAAAAATGCCAAAAAGTGCAAGAACTTATACCGCAACAGAAAGAAAAAGACGCAAAAGAGCTAAAGAGTTGCTTCGCTTGACCGAAAGTGGTAAGCTGCCGAATTTGGTTTTCTCCGATGAGAAAACATTTGTTGTCCAGCAGTTTGTAAACAAACAAAATGAACGTGTTTACTTGCCAAAGAGGTCAGCTCAACTTGTGCACCTTCGGTTGGCCACCAGAACTCAAGCGCCGGCCATGGTGATGGTGTGGGCCGCCATAACAGCCGATGGTCGCTCTCCGCTCGTATAAATCGACTGTGGCATTAGAATAAATGGCGAATATTATCGCGAAAATATTCGCCATTCCAACAGGACTCAGCACCATCGCACTCAGCACGCGGCACCCAAGAATGGTTACGAAATGAGGTTCCTCGCTTCATTTCCAGCGCACAGATGGCCATAAAAATCTTCGGATACCAATCCGTTGGACTATTGTGCCTAGAGTGTTTTGGAAAGCAAGGTTGGCACTTAAAAATACCAAGCGTTCGCCGGGAATGGTCCAAAATTCCGCAGAAAAACATTCGAGCAGCATGTGACGGTTTCATTGGCCAGTTTTGAAGGCCATAATTCGTGCCAAATGAGACCAATTCGAACAAATCTAAATTTTTCTAAAATTTGAAGCTATTTCCGACATTTTTGGCACATCAACAATTTAAATTAAAAAAATGTAAAAATTATGGCTTTTGACTTTGTTGCAATTTTTTTTTGTCTCACCCTGTAGTGCTGGGAAAGTGTCACTTAATTGCAAAAAAAAAAAAAAATAAAAAATATATCAGCATTTTTCACAGCAGAAAACCCTGCTTTAACAATAAGCAGTAATATAACTGTGGCTAAGTACTTAAAACCTGAATTATCGCTTTTCTCACATCTCCTTTAATTTGTTTCATAAAACGTTTTGTTTCATTAGACGTTTTTTGTTATTGAAACTATTAAAGCCCACAATTCTCATTTCAAATAAAATTACGATTTTCCGTTCCCGACAATTGCCGTTATTGCCTAAAACGCCATTCCTGTTTAACAATTTCGTAAGTGTAGACGTTAAACGGCTACAACTTTTCCGAACATTTCCGAGCAATGCACACTAAAAAACGTTAATCAACAAAGAAAATCCAATAAGATTTTGTTTTTGTTTTGTTTCGATTGCCACTCTCTAGTTACAAAAATTATTCACTATTAACAATTCGCATACAATTTTTGGCTCCTCCAAGATTTCTTAAACGGGGCTCTATTATTATAAATGCTATATTTAAGTAAAAGAATAAAGCAACAAATAATAAAACATAATTAAACAAAAGCCATCGCACTAATTTTATTGCTAACAATATTTTATTACTATTCTTTAATCCTTAAAAAATGAAAATGTGGCAACTCTTTAAACCCTACTTAAGAATGTAAATAACAGAGATTTAACGTGAGAGAGAGAGCAAAGAACTCAGCCACTGAGAACCAACAATTTTCTATAGCAACAACAACTACACAATCAGCCGTTTTTTGTTCCTATATACAAACGGTCGGTGTAGTATATATGTATATATATGTTTGCAAACAAAACCACAAAAAGTAAACAGAAAATAAAAATAAAAGGTAGGTACGTAAAATGAAGAAAACAAGATAATTGACAATTTTTATTGCATAATCGGAGGCAAATACAAATGAAATAAACGTTTAGGAGCCGGTAAAAAACAAAAACATTACTCATTTGTTTTTCTTTGCCAAGCTAATGAACTGGCCATTTTTTTTTTTTAATTTAAAGCTCAACGGAAATCTACAAAATTATGTTCTACCTACCTGGTTCGGCAACTTTGGTTTTGCTGACCATCATATGCGCATTATGATGGTGTATGTGGTGATGATGATGAAGATGGTGTTTATCGTGAAGGCCACCATGTTTGGTGGTCAGGGGCATGGACACCACGGTAGCGGCTGCTGCCGGCGCTGCGAACATCATTTTGAAACGCAATTGTATTTCACCCGATTTTTTAATCGATGAATTTGCTTGTTGCTGTTCCTCCTGCTGCCTTTGATAAAGGGTATAAATTTTACTTTTATGTTCGAAACTCTTATGACCTCTTGCAATGTTAAATGCAAATTTTCTCAATAGAATCGAAGGCAAACGCAATTGGGTTTGCCCCAGAACTAATGTATTGCTGTTGTTGTTGGCTGCCGTTGTACTGCCGCTGTTGCTCGAGACTATTATTTGTATGGGCTTGCAGGAACGCAAATAATCTAAGAATAGACCAACGCTCGTGCAAATGCGGTACCGTAGTTTATTGTTGTTGACGGCGACCGATGAAGAAGCTGATGTTGATGATGAGGAGGACACAACAAAATACTGGCAGTGTTTATTTTTCTTTTTTCTTAATAGCTGTTGATGTTGGGGTTTCGCTCGTTTTGACGACAACGTTTCACAGCTGACCAAAATATTTGCCACACTCTCGGCCCTATCTTCGCCGAACCAAACAATTTTCACTTGTACACATTTAATATTCGAAAGAACCGATTTGTTTGCCTGCTTCTTGTGTTGTTCGCTGCTGCTTCCTCTCCCACAAATATTTTGCAAACTTTGAGGAAATTCCTTGATATTTTTTGTATTATCCACACAATTATTATTCAACAAAATTTTTCCATTCCACAGCGACGATGGGGGTTTAGCACTTTCGGAATTATCTTCTTCAATGATTTTTGTTACAAAACTAATATAGCTCACTTCAATTTCCAAATACCCTTGCAAATCTCTTTTAACACACTCTTCAAATTGTGGTGGTAGGTTATGAACAAAATCGTTCATTATTTTCCAGCCATTTTTCACCCAACTTTTTCTTTCACAAATGACTTAATGGTATCGTATGGAATAAATAAAAAAAATAAACAAAATAATAGGTATTTTATCTATTAGCACACAAGACGACGACGCGACCGCACAATGAATGGGAAAAATTCACACATTTGATAAAGTTTCCAGAACATTCATGTCTTATGTGAAGAATATGTATCGTAAGTATATAAAAGCGACCGGCGCATAAACTCGTTGTTGTTGTTGCTGGTTGTCAGAACGGCAAACAGACACAGAGAGATATTTGATGTTTTGTTGACATTCATTCAAGGAAGCGTCAAGTGTAAACAATGTTGTCACAATTGTGTTGCACAATTTGAAATTGAATTAAACATTTATTTCTATTTAACATTTATTTAAATTAACATTAAATTGTATTTAATGGTATGGAAATGAACATAACCAAGTAATGTTATTATCCGTCAAAAACAGCTGTTCATCCATTAAAACGAAGAGAGTGACAATTGCCACTTAACTAGCAGACTGGCAACACCATCCCATGTCCAGGGATACTTAAGTCGACTTTTAGCGTTGAAATGTCAATGAAAATTTTTAAATAAAAAAGAAAACATCGAACATTTTTAACATTGCAAACCAATTATAAAGAAAGCCATTTGAAATTGATTTATAAACCGCTAGAATTTAAAAAAAATGTGTTTTTCATAATTGTATGATTGCTTTTGTCAACGTCATAAAGGTAAAGTTTTCACAACTAATACATGAATTCTGAGGCTTAATTATATTTCGATTAAATTGAAAATACTTGTAAAAACAGATATCGTATGTGAGATTTAGATATAATTTTTTTTTTTTTTTTTATCAAAATGTTCCTCTTTTTTTCTTTGGTTATTTTAAGTGTGGAACGTATTTTAATCATAATCTTGTACTTTTTACTTGTTATTCATTAAGAGATTTTAAATTTTATAAAAAAAAAACTAAGTAGAAAATGTAATAATCGTTAAGCTCTAATTTTGAACAGGATGATGCTCGACATGTCGGGTTTTGAAAAGATGCCATCTAATATTGATATATTTTCTCGTTTTCCATTTCTTTATTTTCTGGGTAAATTAGTCACTACAAAGATATTATTATTGAAAATACTGGTAAAATTTTCTTAAGACCAACTTGTATTTCGTGATGCTTTAAGGACTTTTTTGGCGTCCACAAGAATTTTAAAGTTCTTTCTTTAACTTTTTCGGTATTTATTTGAAAAATTGATTTATAACAACAATACAGTAGTGATCCAGCTTAAACATGTAACTACCTAATAACTCTTCTTAGAAGATTCTATTTTCATTGATGGGACTCGGTGAGGGTTTGTCTACTTGTTGTTTAACTTCAATTGAATTGATGCGGATCATAGTGTTGGGGGATCTTTGGAAATTTATGCGTAAATATTGCTTTCTCCTCTTCTTCTTGAAATGGGTCTTTGTGTGTGTTAAGGTTTTTTCTATAATCGTTGCCTTAACGTCGACCAGACCGGGTTCCAGCAGCGGTGCACCAATCAATGTAAAATCTTTGGCACCTGCCAACATTACCTTTTCCAAACGTATTTCATCGCCAATTGTTGGTGGCCAATAACCTTCGACCAAGATAATATCACCCGGTGTAATTTTAAATTGTTTACCACACAAATGGACAACAGCAAAGAGGCGGCCTTCTTCCTTCTTGGCCAATTGTTGGTTGACTTTGTCGAAGATTTTCTGACATTCCTTTTGTTCTTCTTTGGAAACTTCTTGTAAATCAGCTGTGGTGGGCAGTTCCAATTTGGGCTGTTGACAAAACTGTGGCGTAACACTCAAACATCTCATTGAATCTGCAAACATACACATGTTACAAAATATATGACACTATTTTTAATTGAATTTTCAGCTCACGTGTTAAGTTATCGAGAAGCCTTGCCTGACGCGTCAGTGCAACTAAATTTCGGGCCAAAAAAGCCATATTTTGTGTTATATTTCTTTAATTTTCAACAAATTTACAAAATTTCTAGGTTGTGTGGTTTGGAGGAGTTCATTCGGCCGACCCATTCACCTTCAGGAACTGTGTGAACTAGTGAGTTACATTTTTGTGAATGAGGAGATGGAGTATGGTGAAAATTTGTTTGTACCGTTTGCCACACATCATCGTTTGAGTTGCCCATACAAAAATCTGTAATGTTATGTTCAGACGAGGGCTGTTTAAAAGTAGTATATGTACTGTCGACTTGTATTATGAAGAAAAATCGAAAAAGAATGGAATATCGAATCATATATCGAAAAGCCAAGAGGAAATAATGTTTTTAATGGTAAAGTTATAAAGCAGGAAATATGGGGACAAAATAATTGCAAAAATGCAAAAACTTTCTTGGTAGAATTAAAATAAAAGACACTTAGAAGCTTGCGAACATGCAGCTATTGTTTGCAGCAAAATTTGCCTAGCAAAATGTAGTAAAAAGAAAACCCTATTTGTGTGTGTGTTCTCTTGAATTTGACTAAAAGTTTTGTAAGTGCTCGAGTAGAATATTGTAAAAATAGTACAATATGTTCTGGATCGCAACTACATAAAAGGACTTTAAAAATATATTTTTTCATTAATAACAAATTGACAGTGGCTGAAAAATGACTCGTGAGCTGAACATATCGCAATATTCCATTCGGCAAATATTGAAAAATGAGCTCGGAGTAAAGCCATTGCTACTGCAGAGCAACATGCGGGTTCCGTGTGACGGTTTAATTAGCTGTTTGAAGGCCATAATTCGTGCCAAAGGTGACCAATTCGCACAAATAAAAACTTATTCTAAAATTTGATGCTTTTTCCGACATTTTTGCTTTCAATCAATAAAAAATTTGAAAAAAAAAAATAAATAAAATATGGAAAAAATATGGCGTTTGACTTCGTTGCAGTTTTTTTTATCTCAAACTGTACAATGGAATTGTGAGTAGACATTTTGACAATAAAATGTTGTCAAATTTTGAAATAAAAAATGTAAACATATGATTGCATGACGTTACCTATTTAATTCTACTCTATAAGTTCATGTATTGTTTTTCTGCAAAAACAATTGCAATTTAGACAATGACAATCTTATATTTTTTTGTTAATTTTCTTCTCCCTAATTCAATTGTTTTCGTTTTTTTTATCGTATTATTGGCATTCACTGTCTTCGAAAATCGAACCAGTGTGTATGTGGTAGTAAAATACAACTCTGATTTAGGAAAATTTGTCTTGTGTAGACGTTAGGTTACAGATTAATAATGGTAGATGAATAAAGTAGACGCATCGAAACAGCTGATGGGACAATGAACTGTCAAACAAATTTTGGAATTGAAAATGTTGAATAAATAACTACTCAAAAGAAAAATTCTACTTATATATGAAAATAAAAACATTTTAAAATTGTTAACAAATCAATGTTTCCAAGCAGTGATGCACTTACCTATATTTTTCTACCATGGGCTAAATAAACTATACACCTGGTAGAAGAATCCAGGTAGATGCATCAACGCTTGAGAACATTGATGTGTCAACAATTTTTAAACGTTTCTTCAAAAATGAGTAGATTTGTATATGTTTTCCTATACGACGCCAATCAGAGGTTGTTATGATATGCATTTTTAATAATTTTTACAAATTTAAATAATTTTTCAAAAAAAATTGTCAATCCCAAAATTGATTTGACAGTTCATTGTACCAGCAGCTGTGTCGATGCGACTACCTGTATTCTTCTACCATGACTATACGTCAATGCTATTTGCCATTAACATGAATTGATCGCCATCTCTATCATTGCCATATATAGGTAGAATACAGCTGCTGGGACAATGAACTGTCAAACCAATTTTGAAATTGAAAATGTTGAATGAAAAATTATTGAAATTTGTAAATATTGTTTAAAAATGCATATCATAACAAACCACGATTTGTGTCGTATATTTTGTCAATATATTTTAAAATTTTTGACATATCAATGTTCCCAAGCGTCGAAAGCTAGAAAGTCCAAATTGCTTAACCTCTCCATTTTTTTTCTGGCTTTTCTATAAATGCCTGGCATCAAATTTTGTTTATTTTTCACATTATTTTTTAAAGATGCTCTAGATTTCATTGCTGCGGAATCTGGGTCAAGGAACTTTAATATCTTGAAAAACTAACGATTTATTTTAGATTTTTATAATTATATATAAATTTCATGTGTCTTACTTCATGGAATAGTTGTCATCTACACAAACATTCGTTGCTATTGTTATCTTTATTTGTCAACACATGTACGCACATGTTTGCTTAATTTTATTTATTATCTTAGCCAATGTGCCATGCTTACAGAGAGATAGATAAGGTTGTCCGTCTACCTGTCACAGCAAAATGTCATATGAAAGAGATAATTTGATGTTAATGATATGATCCTTAACAGAATCTGGAGTTTTGTTGTTTTTTTATTCTCGCTGAGATAAGATTTTTGGGGAGAATGTGATTGAAGTAATTAAAAAAAGGATTTATGGGAAAGTACATAGTCTTATTTCCATAGAGTATGACATGTTCTGTCAAAAATTATATATTTCATAGATAATGAAATATTATCACATAGCCGTACGCATTTCCGTTTTCAGTAAAATATAGAAGTTAATTTACATGAATTACTGCCCAATTAGCACTTTCACATTTAATTGGCCATGAAAATATTAAAAATTTGCCACAAAAAATGCATTTTGATATGTTTTTATATTATTATTATTTTTTTTTTTTGAGAATGCCAGAATGTAAACAAAGACCTACTCTCAGCGAATGATCCCCAAATGACAGCAATCAAATAAGCATCAATTTGAACGTAATACAATTATTTTTTTAAAGTGGATAGGGACAGACACCCACATTTTACAGGGAGTGAGAAACAAAAATACATGTAAATACATGTAGAAGAATATAGGTATATGCATCAATGATTGAGAGCATTGATAAGTCAAAATTTTTAAAGTGTTTTGTCAAAAATAATTAGATTTTTATATGGTTTCTTATACAACGCAAATCGGAGTTTGTAATGATATGTATTTTTCAACTATTTTTACAAATTTCAATAATTTTTCATTCAAGATTTTCAATTCCAAAATCGATTTGACAGTTCATTGTTCCAGCAAATGTGTATCCTGTATTCTTCTACGATGTGTAAATGTGAGATGAAAGAACTGCAACCAAAGAACTGCTGTCATATCTAAGCCACTCGACAGCTGTTAAAATTATTCCAGTGACAGTCCATTATATTGTTTACTAGCCGTACAAATGCATTTTGGTGAGAATGTTCCAGGAAAATGTTTTTCGTGATGGAATTCAAGCGTGATAGTGTGATTTTTTTATATTTGGCTGGAGAACATCAAGTAGCTATCGTTATAGCACTCCAGCATTTAAATGTGAATAAATCTTTTGTGACTCGTACCATCGCTCGTTACTGTGACACTGGTAGCGTAGCCAGACGTCAAGTGGGAAGTGGATGGAAGAAAACAGCAACATCAGCAGAAATGCTACGAAAAGTAAAGAAGCGAAGCGACTGGATCGAAACCCGCCTCGCAGTGGACGAAAAATGGCTCTTGAGCTGAACATATCGCAATATACCATTCGGCAAATATTGCAAAATGAGCTCTGGGTAAAGCCATTGAAATTCGAAAAAAGGCAAAAACTTACACCGCAGCAGAAACAAAATAGACTCAAAAGAGAGTTGTTTCGCTTGGCCGAAAGTGGTGAACTGCCGAATTTGGTTTGGTGGTCTCCGATGAGAAAACATTCGTTGTCCAGCGGTTTGTAAACAAACAAAGTGAACGTGTTTATTACTTCGAAAAGCCACTTGATCGAAACCCGCCTCGCATTGGCCGAAAATGGCTTGTGAGCTGAACATATCGAAATATTTCATTCGGCAAATATTGAAAAATTAGCTCGGGGTAAAGCCATTGAAATTCGAAAAAGTACAAGAACTTACACCGCAACGGAAAGAAAATAGATTCAAAAGAGCTAAAGAGTTGCTTCGCTTGGCCACCACCGAAAGTGGTGAACTGCCGAATCGAAACATTCTTTGTCCAGCAGTTTGTAAACAAACAAAATTATAGTGTTTACTTGCCAAAGAGGTCAGCTGAAAATGTGCAGTTGGACATGGTGATGATGTGGGCCGCCATAACAGCCGGTGATCGCTCTCCGCCCGTATTAAACGAACTTGGCATCAGAATAAATGCCGAATATTATCGCAAACAATTTCTGGAGGGTGTATTAAAGCCTTGGGCGCGCAAACATTTTGGCTGCAGACCTTGGACATTCCAACGGTACTGAGCACCATCGCACTCAGCACGCGCCACCCAAGAATGTTTACGAAACGAGGTTCCTAGCTTCATTTCCAGCGCACAGATGGTCACCAAAACCTACGGATACCAATCGGTTGGACTATTGTGTCTGGAGTATTTTGGAAAGCAAGGTTGGGGCTAAAAAATCTCCAAAGTGTCGATCACCTCAAGCAAGCGCTTCGCCGGGAATGGGCCAAAACTGCCACATAGCAACATTCAGGCAGCGTGTGACGGACGGTTTCATTGGCCGTTTGAAGACCATAATTAGTGCCAATGGTGACCAATTCGAACAAATCTAAATTTATTCTAAAATTTGATGCTATTTCCGACATTTTTTGCTGGCATTCAATAAAATTAGAAAAAAATTGTAAAAAATATGGTGTTTGACTTTGTTGCAGGTTTTTTTTTTATCTCACTCTGTATAGGTAAATATGTGCCAATCTCAATAATTGCACAGTGGAACATGAAAAAAATGTGAGTTGAGTTAGAAAAGAAAAACGGCTAGATAAATTCTGTATGGCAGAGACACATAAAAAGCATGGCTTTGTGTTTTAATCATTTTTTGTACCCACCTAATAAGGAGCTGTCATAGTCATATTCCTTTTAAAAATTGCCTTTAACTATTTTAAATTTTTCCATTCCTACAGCCTACAGTACCACAGTGTGACTTATGTTTGCTTTTGTTGTTGCTATTTCAATTGGTCAATTTTGAGTTTGCCGGTAGTTGAATTGTAGTATTACGCGCGTGTATTTTCTTTGTGAGAGGTACACTATCAACAGTCACATCTGAGGGAATTATGACAACTTATTGGCATAAATAAAGGAATAAAGGTGGAAATACATAAAGCGCTTATCTGGCTGGCTTATGTCATCGGCTGGCTTCTTCGAAAATGAACAAAGCAGCCTAGGGCCAAAATCGATCTAAGTCAACCTAAAAATCCTTTGTTCATCTACGAAAAAGGCAGCCGATGACTTAAGCCAGCCAAATATGCGCTTTATGTATTTCCAGCCTAAAACCCCTTCTTGTGTAATTAGATCATGGTAGAAGAAGTCAGGTAGATGCATTAACGCTTGGGAACATTGATATGTCAAAAATTTTTAAATTTGAAAATTTTAAATTTTAAGTAGATTTTTATAAGTTTTCTTATAAAGAGTGATTTGTTAAGAGCTTGATAACTTAAAAAAAAAAACGCATAAAATTTGCAAAATCTCATCGGTTCTTTATTTGAAACGTTAGATTGGTCCATGACATTTACTTTTTGAAGATAATTTCATTTAAATGTTCACTGCGGCTGCGTCTTAGGTGGTCCATTCGGAAAGTCCAATTTTGGGCAACTTTTTCGAGCATTACGGCCGGAATAGCCCGAATTTCTTCGGAAATGTTGTCTTCCAAAGCTGGAATAGTTGCTGGCTTATTTCTGTAGACTTTAGACTTGACGTAGCCCCACAAAAAATAGTCTAAAGGCGTCAAATCGCATGATCTTGGTGGCCAACTTACCGGTCCATTTCTTGAGATGAATTGTTCTCCGAAGTTTTCCCTCAAAATGGCCATAGAATCGCGAGCTGTGTGACATGTAGCGCCATCTTGTTGAAACCACATGTCAACCAAGTTCAGTTCTTCCATTTTTGGCAACAAAAAGTTTGTTAGCATCGAACGATAGCGATCGCCATTCACCATAACGTTGCGTCCAACAGCATCTTTGAAAAAATACGGTCCAATGATTCCACCAGCGTACAAACCACACCAAACAGTGCATTTTTCGGGATGCATGGGCAGTTCTTGAACGGCTTCTGGTTGCTCTTCACTCCAAATGCGGCAATTTTGCTTATTTACGTAGCCATTCAACCAGAAATGAGCCTCATCGCTGAACAAAATTTGTCGATAAAAAAGCGGATTTTCTGCCAACTTTTTGGTAATAAAATTCAATGATTTGCAAGCGTTGCTCGTTAGTAAGTATATTCATGATGAAATGTCAAAGCATACTGAGCATCTTTCTCTTTGACACCATGTCTGAAATCCCACGTGATCTGTCAAATACTAATGCATGAAAATCCTAACCTCAACAAAATCACCCTTTACGTCGTCATTCGGAAGTTATTATAATACGCGTTTTTCAACAATTTTTACGAATTTAAATAATTTTTTTATTTAACATTTTCAATTCCAAAATTGGTTTGACAGTTCATTTGTCCCAGTAGTTGTGTCGATGCGTCTACCTATATTCTTCTACTGCCTCGTTACTTAGCAATCCCTACCCTGTTCGTCTGGCCATCTTGATAACACTGTGTAAACTTACTATGTTTATACTAACAAAAATACAAACTCGTGATCCCTTTAATGTTCATGGAAAAAAAAAACAAACAACGGAAACCCTTAAGATCTTATTAGCTTTCTACATTGTATGTGCCACGATAGCTTTGCAACCCGAATGTATAATATATTAGATTATAATCTAATATTTTTTATTGCGATCGTAAATGCTGTCTGGCTGCAGCAATATTTTCATGTGATAAAGAATCGATCTGGTGATCCCTTTCTCTCTAAGAATATGTGCGTATATATAAAAATACGAATAGAATTTGAATTATGTAAAGACACATTTCAGTGTAGAGTCTACATTGTTGAAACTATAGCATATGCTTTCCACATACACAAACACATGCTCATAATCCTATCTAATTTAATGACCTGATACTGTGCTGTTTATGTCTGCCTGCCCACATAGTCTCTATCAGTGGTGATGATGATGAGTACGTTGAAGTCCACTATTTTGTTTGTTTGTTATTATTATGGTTTTCGTCGTCATTGTTGTTGCTATTCTATATTTTGTGTTTTTGCTGTTTTTATAGTAGCAAAAACAACAACAACAACAATAAAAAAATAACAGCAAACAAATGTACACAAACGCCCGAGCGGTAACAATAACAAAGGCAACAACAACAATTAAAGGCAAGCAAAGTAAAAAAAAAACAACGACAACAACAACAAAAGCCAACAATAACAGTTAAGTGGATTTTTATAAAGAGTCGCGATGTGCGATTTTTTTGGCTTAGGGAATGTCATTCGTGTTTCAGAGCGCTTCTAAAACAGTTCGCTTGTTATTTTTTTGCGGGTAATTTTTTGAAAGTAAAACCGAATTCGAAAAAGAAAACAAAAATTCAACCAATAAACATAAAAACATAAAAAAAAAACATAAAAACAACACCCTAAGTCGAAAAATAAATATTAAAAAGAAACAGCTGTGATTTTTTTATTTTTTAGAAATATCTAGTTTAGTCTAACAAGAAAGTCAAGCGATTTATCTAGAAATAATATTCAAAATAAATGTGATTAAAAAGAGGGAGAAAAAAATCAAAATAGGAAATAAATCACAAAACAACGGAAACAAGTGTTAAATCCTTAAATATAATTAATGAATTCATAAAAGTATGAACAAATCCCAGTGATACGAAAGATGTAAACAATTTCTTTTTTCAACACAAAATATTAATTCTGTGCTGTCATATTAACGTTCTCGCCGGTTTTTTTTGTCACGGAAAATCTGATTTTAACAAAAGGTAAATATAAAACAAAACGTAAATAGGTATAGAAAGTGAATCATAAATGACAACAATTATCAAAAATGAGAAAAAAGAACAACAACAACGATGGAAAATAAAGAACAATTTTTAATTGAATCATATCAGACAGATTTCCCACCATCATCATTCAATTGTTGTTTGTGTTGCTTTTTGTCATCTGCTATAGTTCACCGGAAGTGCAATGTAGTCAATTGAGTGATTTTTTTGTGTTTTTCTCTTCGTGTTTCTTATATACCGTAATATGCCCAATTGACATTTGCATAGATTATGTTTTGTCATAATTGATGGTAAATTGTTTATGAAAAAATAGACTATAGAGGTCAATCGCCTAGAAAATGCGATTAACTTAAATTACTCTTCGTTGGTCTATTTAAAAATTATTCAATGCAATAATGACAGTTGAATTGATGTGGTTTGTTTTTTTTTCAAGTTTTAATCAATTTTGATTAGTATGAGTGTTTTAAGGGATCTATAGACCGTTTTTAACAGTAAAATATATACAAAGTGAGGTCAAAAAAAACTGCAAAAAAGTCAAACGCCATAATTTTTAATTTTTTTTTAAATTTTTTTAAACGAAAGCAAAAAATGTCAGAAATAGCATCAAATTTTTTAGAATAAGTTTAGATTTGTTTAAATTGCTCCCCTTTGGCACGAATTATGGCCTTCAAACGGCCAATGAAATCGTCCAACGCTGCGGTATTTTTGCCAATTCCCGGCGAAGAGATAAAAAAAACTGCAACAAAGTAAAACGCCATAATTTTAACATTTTTTTTTAAATTTTATTGAACGAAAGCAAAAAAAATCTCAGAAATAGTATCAAATTTTAGAACAAGTTTAGATTTGTTCGAATTGGTCACCTTTGGCACGAATTATGGCGAATGTTGCTCTGCGGTATTTTAACCCATTCACGGCGATGCGCTTGCTTGAGGTGATCGACTCTTTGGTATTATTTAGTGCCAACCTTGCTTTCCAAAATACTCCAGACACAATAATCCAACGGATTGGTATCCGGAGATTTTGGTGGCCATCAGTGCGCTGGAAATGAAGCGAGGAATCTCATTTTGTAACCATTCTTGGGTGGCGCGTGCTGAGTGCGATGGTGCTGAGGCCCAAGGCTTTAATACACCCTCCAGAATATTTTCGCGATAATATTCGGCATTTATTCTGATGCCACTGTCGACTAATACGACCATTGCCTGTTATGGCGGCTCTCACCATCACCTTGGCCGGCGCTTGAGTTCTGGTGGCCAGCTGACCTCATTGGCGAGTAAACACAGACATTTCGTTTGTTTACAAACTGCTGGACAACGAATGTTTTCTCATCGGAGAAAACCAAATTCGGCAGTTCACCACTTTTGGCCAAGCGAAGCAACTCTTTAGCTCTTTTAAGTCTATTTTCTTTCCGTTGCGGTGTAAGTTCTTGCACTTTTTGGAATTTCAATTGCTTTACCCCGAGCTCATTTTTCAAGGAATTGCCGAATTGAATATTGCGATATGTTTAGCTCACGAGCCATTTTTCGGCCACTGCGACGCGGAGCCTAAGGCCAAAATCGAACTAAGTCAACCTAAAACTCCTTTGTTTCGCTACGATGAATCCGGCAGAAAAAGCGTTAGGTTTGAAATACATGAAGCGCATATTTGACTGGCTTAAGTCATCGTATGGCTTTTTCGTAAATGAACAAAGGAGTTTTAGGTTGACCTAGTTCGATTTTGGCCTTAGGCTCCTTTGTTCATTTTCGTAGAAGCCAGCCGATGACTTAAGCCAGCCAAATAAGCGCTTTATGTATTCACACCTTTGTTGAGAATGTTGTAAGAAAATAGACCTACCTGTATGGATTGTACTATCAGAATTACCAAAGGTTTTTTTTTATTTGATTTCTTTGAGTAAACAAATTTTCAAAATCATTTTCTGTCCACCTTTAAAAGTTTATTTTGTAAGAAAATAAAAAAATGTTGTCCGATCCGATTAAAACCTTTCTATCTCCTGTATATTCTTTTTTCGAAATCAAAATTTTCCATAAAATGTTCCCATATTATTAGCCGTCGTGGCCTATAAAATATCACCTATGGAATATTTTTGTAAAATATGTAGAAACAAAAACTGCAATAATTGGTGTAAATATTACGTGATATCTCAAGTGTTTTAGGTTGACCTAGTTCGATTTTGGCCCTAGGCTCATTTGTTCATTTCCGAAGAAGCCAGCCGATGACTTAAGCCAGACAAATAAGCGCTTTATGTATTCCCAGCTTAACTTTTGTGATATGTGCATCTTAGAGCACGTTTAGACTAATAATCCCCTCGATTTCAAATGTCAATTCGATAGTGTGTACCATGGTAGAAGAATATAGGTAGGCGCATCGACACAGCTGCTGTCAAACCAATTTTTTAATTGAAAATGTTGAATGAAAAATTATTTAAATTTGAAAAATTGTTGGAAAACGCTTATTATAATAGCCTCCTAATAACTTTGTATAAAAAAACATATAAACATCTATTTATTTTTGAAGAAACGTTTAAAAATTTTTGACATATCAAAAAGCGTTGATGCATCTACCTGTATTCTTTTACCATGGCGTGTACACCACATAAATCGTATTTATAAATCCAGTGGATTTTATTTGACATGTATATACGCTATGTAAATGACAATTGAAATCGAGTGGATGTCGTAAATCTAAACGTACTTTTAAGGCCTGGAAGAAGATGCATCAACGCTTGAGAACATTGACATTTTTAATTTTTTTTTTTTTCAAAAATAAGTAGATTTTTATAAGTTTTCTTTTTTCTGTGGATTGTTATGATATGCATTTTTCAACAAATTTTACAAATTTGGATTATTTTTAATATAAAATGTTCAATTTCAAAATTGGTTTTCCACAGACACCTATAAATAACTATTACGGGGAAGCAGTCAAATGTGGAAGCACCGGGGTTGTGAAGACAAAAAAAATATTTATGGAACGCTTTTTAGTTAAAATTGGAAAGGAAGAACTTGTGATCTAAACAAAACCAAGCGCTAGCCACAAGTTCTTTATTTCCAATCTTTATTAAAAAGCGTTCCAAAAATATATATTTTTTGTTTTCAAATCCTAATGATCCCCCATTTGACTTCTTCCCCGTAATAGTTATTTATAGATGTCTATGGAAAACTTCACGCCATAAACTAAACATATGTTTTTCTAATTAGTGGTAATTTGAGACAAATAATTCTTATCAGTTGCAATAGGTACTGCTTAATTATATGGATATTATTGAGTTTTTTTTTCGTGCGAATAACATTTGTAAATAGTAATAAATTGAAATGGCTTTGTAGCGGTAGATTATAATAGATATGTCGTAGGTATTAGAATAATGCCCCAAGTAATGTAAACAAAATTATGTAAATGTCAAGTTATTTTTATAATTGATTTTGTTTATTTTTAGCTCTAATTGTGCACACAAATATGAGTGAATAGCAAGCTATTTATGATGGTTTAATTATAAGTACATAAATCTTTTTTTGAGGTCCATTGATTTTCCACCCTTAGAAAAAACGGCGGAGGCAATTTTAGTGATTTGATTTGGTATGTGGCCAGGTGCTTTAAGAATAATTTTGGCCGCCTTTAGAAGAAGAAGAATATTACTTCATTTTTCATTCTTAGGAAGAAAATACATTCAACACTTTTTTGACTGGATGAACAAAGGATCCTAGGTTCAAAATCGAACTAAGTCAACCTAAAACGCCTTTGCTCCTCTACGAAAAAGTCAGCCGATGACTTAAGCCTGCCAAAAAGGGTAAAAGGTGATTCTCACCTTTAAGGCGAGAACACGTAGAACAAGTTTTTTACGGGCTTAGCTGATCGGCTGGCTTCTTCGCAAAGGAGCATAGGGTCACAAGTACAAATTATGGACCGAAATTTAACTAAATCAACATACAACTCCTTTGTTCTTTTACAAAGAAGCCAGAAGATGACTTAAGCCAGTAAAAGCTTCTTCTATGTGTTCTCACCTGGATACTTATTTGTTAAATTGTGGGAAATTATTAAAATTTTCTTGACTTAAAAAATATATATATTTTGTGAACACGGAGAATATTTAAGAAGAGGATCGGAATATATTGGCCAAAAAAATTTCTGTTTGAGCTTAAGGTGGGAATACATAAAGCGCTTATTTGGCTGGCTTAAGTCATCGGCTGGCTTCTTTGGAAATTAAAAAAGGAGCCTAGGACCAAAATCGAGCTAAGTCAACCTAAAACTCCTTTGCTTAAAGACATAGAAGTGTAAAGATAGGGCAAGGCAGAGTCAAAATATGGCAACCCTGTGAAAATACATCTGTTATTATGATATCATGACAACATAGTTACCAATGTTAAGTGATTTAAACCGCTAAGGCAATATGCAACTTTTTTGAAAGGTCTATGGAATAGAATTGTAAAACCACTTTTCTGGATTTTTTTCAACTTTTATTTGTCATTCGTTTCTGTCATTGTGACACAAACCATTTGCTCAAAATGCATTTTGTCTAGTCTTTACTATTTTAGGTCTTTGCTTTATTCCTCTACGAAGACGCCAGCCGATGAAAATCAGAAAAGCGTTTTATGTATTCTCACCTTAAAGTTAGAGAAGGAAAATGAAGTAAAGAATTTGGAGAAAATAACTAGGTACGTGGCTAGGGCGTTTTAGGTTAAGGCATTAAGGTAGGGTTCACACAGTCGAAAATCTCTGACAGTCTAATATTTTTTGCTTGGTTGTTTTTTTTGGGATAAGATCATGAAAAATGGTGGGTATTTAATTATTTAATTGATAAGTGACTATGTCGTGTAATTAAGAGAGGGCAAAATCGTAGTCGTTGAACTAAATAAACCTAAAACTCATTTATTCCTCTACGAAAAAGCCAGCCGATGACTTAAGCCCGGCAGAAAAGCGTTTTACGTATTCTCACCTTAAAGTTAGAGAAGAAAAATCTAGTGTAGAATTATGGAGAAAATAACTTGGTA